AATCTGTGTTTAACTCTCTAGCCTAGTTCTTCTATAAGATGAAGACAATAACAGTATTTATCTCATAAAATTATTTCATTAAGTGAATTAATATATGTAAAGAAGTCATAATAGTGCCTGTTAAATAATGAATACTTGATACAAGCCATTGCTGCTCTTAGGGTATGAATATATTGTTCCATGTTTGGATCAAAGTAGTTTGTACTCCTTGGTTATCAGTTAACTCTTGGTTTCCACCGTCACCCTTCAGAATGCAGTCTAATGTGCTAATTATAAATGAACATAACTTTTTTTAAAAAATTAGAGTCATTGGAGCTGATGAAACTATTTTGTCATATATAAACTATACACTCACACATACAGTTATGCACAGGCATAAGGGTTCATACACCAAGTTTTCAAAAAGTTTGAAAAAATACACATCAAAATCAAGTTTTGTTTTCCATGAACTATTTAATGCTCTCTCTGTAGGTTTATATCAAATTTCACTGTAGAGATTCCATAGGCTTTAAGACTAATGTGCAGAGATAAGAATTTTTGTTCTTTAGTAGATTCGGTTTTTTTGTACAATTCAACTTATAGAAAGAAAAGCATAGATTTTGTTTTCTTGAAACCATATTGTAAAGCCCACCTCAAACCCAATTTAACTTTTTTTAATATCCCTTGATCATATGGATTATTATTTCTTAAAACTTGAATTGCATACCAGAAATATCCCACAGAAATATTTGGGCTATCTTAAACAACAACAAAAAAATTGCCTATAAAAGTTCATTAGACTATTATCCCAGAAATGGTATTTCTGGCTTAATCATTTGAAAATAAATAATGTTATTTCATTTTATGTACATAACTATCCTGGCATATATATTGAAATGCCATAAGACGTTGTAAATGAAGTTATCTATACATGTGTCACATACATTTCCTTATTTCTTAGGTAGTATGTGGCAGTAAATTGCATCAGTTATACTTTTGAGCTTCTCAAATAGGATTAGCACCTAAAATCAATGTATGTACATAACAGATGCAGATTGTTCCTATGTTTGGTTGTAATTGAGGTAAAATAATCATCTTTTCAAGTTGTCTGAGGAACTCCGAGATTCAGAGCTGAGTGGAGTTACTAAAGCTAGCAATCCAGTTCAGGAATGAATGGGACCCAGTTGCAGCAAGAAAACAGATTCACAGGGACCAGCCAATGCTTTAACATCCGTGGTCCTACTGTTACCATCATTAAACTTAAAGGAAGAACCTGACTTCGAAGACTTGGTGAAATAGTGTGTCGAGCAACTCCCAGTACATGTTCCCACAATTGATCCCAGACCACTTTGCAAGTTGTGACAAGAAGTGTTACAGAGTTCAATTTTTTTTCCATTTGGCAATATTTACATATACTTTATAGGTTGAGCGTCCCTACTGCACAAATGGAAAATCTGAAATACTCCAAAATTCACAAGTTTAAACTTGAATGATTTTGGATTTTGGAGCACTTTGGGGCTTTTTGGTTAGGGATTTGTTTGACCAGTATTTTTTTATTTACATGTATGTGCTTCTGGGGTCATTACTGAATATGCCATTTTGAAGTGATTTGTTCATTTAGAAACATTTACTTCATGTGAGGTTCCTGTTTATTTGTGTTCCAAAATGGAGGGGAGATCTAATGAGGACTCAGCTTTGACGTTTTCATCTCTTTTAAGTTTGTGGCCATAACGCTGAAGTTGCTGTCCAAATCTTCATTACATTGAAAGGCTTTTAACTTTAGAAAGCAGATTTATTATTTAAAAAGAAGAAAAGACAAACGAGCGAACAAAAACAGTGTCAAGGTCTCCATAATGTTGATTTTAGCCAATCATCTGTTTTAAAAAGCTGGGTGATTTTCATCTATATACACAAAAGATATTCTTTGGTTTATACATTGCAAGCAAGCAAAAAAAAAATGCAAAACAACATTTTGTGTATTGATTCCCCCAGAAAACTATCTCCTTTTGAAATGTCTTGGAATTATCATCTGTAGCATCATTCTTTAGGGTTGGGATGAGAAGAAAAGGAAAAAGGGATTGGAGCAGGCAGTTAGCCTAGTGGGACATAGTTACCAGGTTCAGCTCCCAGCTTTGTCTCCTGATTTCAGCTTCTGTTAATAAAACCCAGAAGGGGTTATGGCCCTAGTAGTTGGGCTGCTACTACCCATGTGGAAGTCATGTTTTGAATTTCTACTTTTTCTCAGTCACTTCTCTGAATAAAAATTTTAAAAAGAATATCCTCATTTTGGAAGAGAAACACGTATGAACTACTCAGTGTTACTGATAGGTGATTCTTGTAAATGTGGCATTTGATTAAATATATATTATATCATGAGCCATTTTCTGGACTCCAATTAGAGTAACTGGGAGAATGTTTTTGCAGATGTGTTTCAGGATTGATTGAATAATTGCTGTGTAGTACAAATTATTTGTGTCTCATTCTGAACTTAAAAAAAAAAAGACTGAAAATGCCCTTACTCTTATACTACTCAAACATAATGGTTTCTTCCAACTCTTGGTGGAAACTAAAGTTGTGGTATTGTTTTCTGTATTTTGGTGGGATTTGCTTATGATTTTCTACCAGTCATTCCCACATTATTTGGAAGAAAAGATTTAATCTCAAAAAGATTTAATCTCAAAACATGAGCCATGTTGTCATTTATACTCACTAGCAAACTAGCATAATAGTTTAATACTGATACTAATCTGTTTTAATATGAATAATTGAACCACATGTGTTCATTGTAATCTAGTGAAAGATGCAGAGAATTGACTTTTTTTTAACCTCTGGTATCTTTTTAAAAAGTGAATCACATGGGATTATATTATACATATTTTCGTGTAAGTGAATACAGAGAATTTTAAGACCAAATGTACCCACCCTTTGTGATCTGGGGGAGGAAACAGAATGTGCCCAACCACCATTATCTTGAATGTGAAGTGAAAACAGCAACACTTAAACAGTATTTTATCTAAATGCTTCAACTTATACCAATTTTTAAGGGATCATTTCGTGTTTTAAGTGGTGATGTTTAGTGTTCCTATGACTCCAGCTTTCTCTTCTTGTTTATTTCTAATAGGTAACTTTTTCCTTGTTTATATGAGACTTCATGCTTCTTTATACTCTCAGAGCTATAGACAGTAAGAGAAAAGGAAAAGATCATAGTCTTTCAACAAGAGTATATTAAGGGCCTACAACAACCAGGGTTCTAGAGAGAGTATAAAAATGAACTGAAGCAAAACCCCAGAGCTGGTGTATGTAACTTAACATGACAGAAGTGATAGGAGTTGAGAATACTTAGAACACTTTGCTCCTGCCGTCTGTAGTCGGCTTGCTTACATTGTGATCTAAGCCTCATTTGTGTTTATTGTCTTTCAAAGTGCAACAATTTCCATGATTCTAGAGCACTTTCACCAAATTGTAAATGCACTTAAAACCAGTGGGTTCCATCATGCCACAGATTACTCCTACATTGAGTTGGCACTTAACTCAGTGTCCTGGTCCTGCTACAGACATGCCCTCTTTTGGAGTCAGTGTAGTATTTCCCCTTTTGCCACAGAAGGCCTTTGTCTGTGAATAAAAGAGCAGAGTGGCAGAAAGGCCAGGAACAGGAAACTAGCCAGATTACTGGATTTCATCCAGGTGCATCAGATTTAAACTGTAGTGTCCCTAGTTTTCTGAACTGGAACAACAACAACAACAAAAATCTGGAGTTTAAAGTAACCATGGTTTTCTCCTGTATTGAAAACAAGTTAGATTGTAAAAGTTGTATATGAGCTTAATGAAGGAAAAATACCCTTGGTGGCTGTTCCATAGAGTTTTAAGCTTTATTTTTAGTCTGACTTGTTTCAATTGACAAAATGAAACATTACTGAGTAGAACTTGAAATTTGAGCAGTTTTTTATAGAACTGCAAGTTTTGCAAGAGCTCATAGAGTTGTATAAACAAAGTGAGTTCTTGAGCATTTGTAGAAATGAAGTATACAAACATTTCTGCCAATATTACTGGTTTTAAACATAACAAAAATAGGCAGTGTCATGCATTAACAAATGGTAGTCCTAAAAAGTATAAATAATCCTGATGAAATTGCTTTTATTGCACGAACCCATTGCCTATTTGAAATCTTATTGCTATGATTTGTATTTGTTACTAAAACATATAACTTACTTTCATGTTGCATTGTTTTCACTTCACATTAGGAAAAATTAAGACCAAAAAAGTAAGAGAGGTATAAAAACAAAAATCTTAAATGATATAAAAAATACATTACATTTCATTTTAAATGGTAGATATTGTGCTTGCAAGATTAAATTAATTATACTAGTCCACTCAGCTAAATTTTACATAAATTCATACATATTTTCAATGTATATTGCAAGGACAATATTATTGATTACTTTTCTGAAAAGAAAACTTTTATATTTAAATTGTAGATACACCATTTAGACCTGGTTAGATGTGCTTCACTTGGCTTTTTTTCTCCTGCATGTGAATGACTGTCTTCTACTTTTATTATTAGCTCCTTACATTGATAACTCTTCTGAATAGAACTTTTCTTTTTCTTTTGCAGATTTTTTTAATCCAGTTGCAAATATCCCCCTTCTTACATATTTTATTTGTTCTTTCATACCATAATCAAGAATGCACCATAAATTTAGAGGTAGAATTTAAAAAGTGCCTATTGAAAAAAGCAGGTACACTGCTTGAAGGAAATTGCCAGGAGACAGCTTGTTCCACTGCTGCCAGTTCTAGGATGCATTTGTTTATGACACAGATTAGTAAAATCGCAAGCCGGTTCCAGAGATGAGAATAATTTTTATATAGCCTCATGTGTTGCGATCTGTTACATTGCATGAAATGAAGAGAGGAAACTTCAAGTATAACCTAAACTGAGGGAATGGAAAGTATTTGGGTATGTGAATAAAGTATTTATACTGTTTGTATATATTTTAATTGCTTTCTCTCTCTACCCATTAAAGATTCCAGTGCTGAATATTCAAATGAAAATTTTTCCTGCACTTTGCACTGTCGCAGGGACCATATTTTCCTGTACAAATTACTTCCGTGTAATCTTCACAGGTGGTGTTGGCAAAAATGGATCAACAATAGCAGTGAGTATGGCATAAGTTGTCCAGCAGTTGTTTCTGCCAGGTCTTGTTTTTCATTTGAATGTGTAAAAGCACCTGGTAATTCAGAATTTAATTATCCTTAAGAAGAAAGCAATATTCCAAAATGTCTCAGTTTTATAGTTAGATATAGATGTATAGGTACATATGCAGCAGATGCATATTTTTGTATATGCACAAACACACACGCACACTTTAACAAGTATTTATTTGAAAGTGTGGCTTGCTTTGTGAAAGTAATCCTGACTACTTAAATCACATTTTTAGTTGTTGCCTAACCAGTTTGTGTGGCTGTTTTTCATTAGCCGTTCTGGGAACAGTGAACAAGTGTTTTTTACAGAGATCTCCAGTGGTCAGGCAATATGAGGTTCTTAAAAGCTTGAATTGAACGCTTTTGCAGCAGTGCCATGTAATATGTTAACTCTTCTCTTCACTTTGTACAGGGGACTAGTGTCCTTTCTCCTTTTCTCCACATTGGATCAGTGATTACATTAGCTGCGATGATATACAAGAAATCAGCAGTACAGCTTTTTGAAAAGCATCCTTGTCTTTATATACTGACATTTGGTTTTGTATCTGCTAAAATCACTAACAAGCTTGTGGTAAGTGCTGAAGTTTTTCCTTATTTAGTATTTAGCTTTCATCTAATGTTTTTATGGCCATGGTTTTCATTCTGTGACTTCGTAGGCAGTTCTAAAGTTTGAAGTCATTGTCTGCTTGACATCGGCAAGGAAACCATACTCCCCTTTAAAGTAGAGCTTGATGTCCCTGGAACTTCACCTTCTCTCTTGAGCTCAGCTCCAGTTAAGAGTGCACAGTCAGCACCTTCTGTGGAGTTATTTAACCCAATGATCCCTTTCTTTCTTATTCATACTTAATAGCGTAACTGATTTTTTTTTTTTTTTTTAATAATCTTAGTTTATTAGGGTACAAAGGGTCACGGGCTACAGGGTAAAAGTGGGTAATATCATTGTTTCCACACTAATATAATCATTTTGCCATGTATCTAGGGTTAGGGGAGTAACAAAGGGGAAAGCCCCACCCTACCTCCCACCCATCCCCGATCCCCAACATGAGGCACGCTCCAAGGGTCCTGCTCATACAGTTTTGATAGTTCATCAGTTCTGGATTGCTGCCAATCTCTCCGTCCCAACCGTAATGAAACCTATTCAGAGTCTACTGGCTGACAGTCTCTTGATGGTTGGGGTTCCAAGATCAGCAGTTCAGTTCGAGAAATATCCAAAGAAACTTCATCTGAGTTGATCCCAGATCTGATTCTTGAGTGAGTTTGCTAGTACAGACTCCAACACTGTTGTCACACCAATCAGCTTATGCATATGCTGGTCGTTGCGATTGCTGGGTCCGTTCGGCTTCCAGCCCTGTCTTCCTTGTGAACCAATGGGTGTTGTAGTCCAGCTCGATTCTACCCACTTCATACTCGGTCTTCATGCAAACCAGTTGGAGCTACAGCCTAGTTGGGGCGACTCCCCAAAACCCCTACCAGTTCTGCCCCCTACCCTGGTTCCCATGCTTGCCAGTATGCACTGCAGGCTTGTCCAGTCTGTCCCACATCCCAATTAGCTCTCGCACACGTCAATGGACATTGAAGCCTGGTTCAACCCAACCAACCTATTATCCAGCCCATACACCCACTGGCAGGTGCCTTTCTGTCAAGCCACCCCTGCTCCTAGCCTGGGTTTCATGCTGTCCAGTGAGGGTGGTAACCCTGTAACTGATTTTTGAAATGCATATTTGAACACAGTACTGATTCGCTGTATAGCTCACAGTTGCTCTAATGTGAAAATGTGTACATCACTGATTCTGTTTTATTCATAGGTTGCCCACATGACGAAAAGTGAAATGCATTTGCATGACACAGCTTTCATAGGTCCAGCGCTTTTGTTTCTGGACCAGTATTTTAACAGCTTTATTGATGAATATATTGTACTTTGGATTGCCCTGGTAGGTATTAAACCATGTTATATTTTCTGTTTTTGCAAGCTATTTGTTTTCTTGTTTTGATAGGCCAGTCCTAAAACAGATTATACATTTGTAATAATTTGAAGCTTCAGAAAATCCACATACACATTTATAAAACTTTGTGAGAACCTGTGGCCTCATAATTGGGTCATTCTTGGGGGTTATTCTCACTAGTCCTACATACACCAGTAATCAACTCCAAATTTCTGGTTATAGAAAACAGGGCCTGGCAAACCACTCTTTTAGCCTACAGTGTATTTTTTTCAGTGAAGTTTTATTAGGTCTCTGCAGGATGCCTCATTTATATATTCTCTGTGGCTGCTTTCACACTATGTGACAGACTTGAGCAATTGTGACAAAGTGCGACCTACAGCGCTTGAAAAATTTGCTAAGCATTTGTTGGTCCTTATAGTGTAAAGAAAAGATTATGTGCAAATTGAGTTATTAAATCATGTAGAACTGAGGGTGAATTTGAGCTGAAAAGAAACAGATCAGAGGTGGCCTTGCTTTGCTTTCAGGAAGCTTCGGGAAGGTGTACGCAGATGCTCAGAATCGTCTCTTTCCTTTCTAGGTCTTCTCTTTCTTTGATTTGATCCGCTACTGCGTCAGTGTGTGCAATCAGATTGCCTCTCACCTGCACATACATGTCTTCAGAATCAAGGCCTCAACAACTCATTCTAATCATCATTAATGATGTAATTTATGTTTTATAGGAAGCTCATGTTTTCTGCAAGAAAGAATCTGAACACATTAAGGAGAAAGGGGGTGGATAAGAACAAATATAATTTATAATAATCAATGTTGTGTCACCTTTATTCTTTGTTACTGGTAACACTCCCTAACTATCCTGTGTGTGAGAATGGGAATTCAAGTCCCATCTTGTAAATTGTACAAGTTGTCATACAAAGTTTGGCCCAAGGAAGCATGCAGGAAAAACAAAATGCCATATGTTTGTAATTATCCTGGATACAGAATCATGTCCTAAGAAGCAGATCCCAGTGGCGGAGATTTCTAATGTAGAATAATTACAGGCCAAAAGATGGTTACTTCATAATTTTAACAAATTGTCGTCTTTTAGTAACATCCTCATTAAGTGTCTTCTCAAGCTTTCTTTACTAAGGAGCTCAGCTTGTGACACAGATGCATCCCACTAGCTTGTGAGGTGAAACTAGTGGAAAGACCTTGAGCTTGGACTGAAAGTTTTCCTATCTTTACATTGTTGAGGAAGTAAATTTTTTTTATTGCTCAAGAAGAAGTATCTCTCATGGGCTTGGGAAGTCCTGTTAGCATGCAGAATAATGTGTTAACTTTGTCAATCCATTTTATTTTTTTAAATAAATATATGATCTAAAAACCAATTTTTTTCTCTCTCTTTTATTCAATAGATAAAGTTTCAATGTCTTTTTTTAAATTTTAAGCAAAATTGACTTCTGTTCTTTAATAAATAAGGAAATTCGGTCAGTTGCATTGTTGTGATATGTCCTATGGTCTTTGTATTTTGTAGAAACCATTTTACTTTTTTACAAAAACTGTGTTCATTTTTCCTCTTGATAGTTTCTTTGTATTTTAGTCATCAGTAATTCTTGTGATTGCCAATCGTTTTAAAATCTTAACCCTTGTCCTAAATGTGCAGTAATTGCCAGGGCTCCTCTCCGGAGTTACTTTTGTACTGTCCTTAAGTGTCTATATTGCACTTTGAAATGGGAACCAGGTATGACTCTCTTGTATATAGAATGTTCAGTTGCTTGAATGAAGGAAGGGCCAGCAGAAAAGGATTAAGCTATTGACTAAAATACATATCGTTTTTTTACTTGAACCTTGTACTCTAATCAGGAATATAAATAGTAGCTGCAATGCCTTGCCTACTTTCTTGCACTTTTAACGGTTCCATCAATATCCTGTAGATCTGGATTAGCAATGGGAATTAAAACCGTGATTTCTTTGCCTGACAGTACAAGAAAAGAAACCTCCCACTACCTTGCTGGCAACTTCTCCAACCTCTGGGATAGAGGGATACATGCAGGAAAATACCAGTAATGATTTGGAGAGTAGAACAAAGCAGGATATGGAAGAAAAATTCTGCTTGTACTGTACAACTGTTATGTTACTTGTTACAGCAGACAAAACAGGCATTAATTGCTGGCAGAGAAAATTATAGCTGAATAGGTAACCAGTGTGTCATAGCACTGCCATTTTTCACAACAGAGCCTGAACCAAGTCTTCTGTGTCTTGTTCCACTGTGCTTCCCTACATCACACTGAGCTCTAGTGAGCTAATGCTACAACCAAGTGTTTGAGGGCTAGTTGAAATGTGTATGATTATGTTCTCCTAGGATCTTTTTCAATGTAAAGGGAATCTAAAAAGCATCCAGGTATTGGTGTGGGTTTCTAGCTGCCATTAGAATCAGATCCAGAGTACATTTGTAGTGAACCTCAGCTGGCCCCGATTCTTCGTTTATCTGGTCAAGTATTAAAATATCCTGAATAAGGTTTAAAGAATTACAGAATTCCAGGTCCTAACTATAAAGATGATATGGCAGATTTGGGATAGGGCTTCAAAGAATATTTTCACAAGTGTTTCAAAAACACCAGCAGCCAAAGGCAGCAGTGGTCAAGAAACCAAAGGAAAAAAAAAATTAGACAATTCCAAGATTACAGAGTGTTCTTTATTGGAGGCCAGGGTAGGGGGTAGGCGTGGATGTTGGGAGAAAAGCAATCTCAGGGGAGGGGGCAGACAGGAAAAGTGCACACAGAAAGGCTGCAGAAAAATCTGAATGTTATAGACAAAAGTGGCCCATGCTAGGTTAAGTACACCTGTGCTTTTTCAAGAACTCAACATTTCAGGTATTAAATAAGGGACATTCCCAGAGCCTGATTCGGTAAGACAAGCCTAGAAGGTTATCTTAACAACTTTGTTTACAAGATTTTAGATGATTGTCAGGCTTATCCAAAGAGCAAGATGAAGTACCAACCAAAAATGGCTGCAGCCGTGTCAGTCTACATCCTTAGGGCAAGCTTCCCAGGATTCTAGTTCCTGTTCTGAACCCTTTTTGAGTTACATCCATTTTTTAGTATATGTGGCAGTGGAACATCTACCTGTAGCAGGTCTCTTGCCAAAAATCAAACAATGTCAATTTTTAACTATAATTGGGAGCTCCCCACCCCATCTTCCTGTTATCCCGCCCTCCAAAAGTATTTGTATTGTGCATAGAATTCAGGGACCATATTCACATAAACACATTTAGAATTTTTACTTATTTGACACATTTGAAAGACTGAGAGGCATTGGCGCTGCCCAAAAACCTTAGCCCCTGGGGCCAGGCGCAGCCAAAGCCAGAAACCAGGAATTCAATCCAAGTCTTTTACGTGGGTGGCAGAGACGCAAGTACTCGCGCTATCAGCTGCTGCCTCCTAGGATGCTCATTACCAGGAAGATGAAATTAGGAAGAGAGCTAGGACTTCAGCTCAGGCTCCCAAATATTCAATGCATTATTGAGCTGCCTCTTTAACTGAGAGGCCAGACATCCTCCTCAACACATTTTAAAAGTAAGGCCAGACATTTAATGGAGCAGCCAAAGACAGTACATAACCCGCATCCCATTATTGGAGTAACTGGTTCGAGTCCCACTTCTCTACTTCCCATCCAGCTTTCTCACCTTGAGGGGCTGCATATGATGGTTCAGGTACTTCAGTCCCTGGCACCCATGTGGGAGACACAGGTTGAATTCTTGGCTCCTGTCTTCTGCCTAGCCCAGGCGTGGTGGTTGTGGGTACTGGGGGGAGTAAACTAGCAAACACAAGATCTCTGTGTGTCTGCCTTCCAAAAATAAATCACCAACAGAAAAGGTTGAATTTTTTAAACAAGCAAATGCTGCTTGGAAAATTTCCCACATATTACAATTTTAAGCAGAAGCTATCCTAGAGGTAGAAAGTGAGAAAGGACCAGGTGATCCCTAAACTCCTTTGAACTCTAAAGATTATGACCTATAGGCGTCCCCAAAATAGCAGCCAGTTGGAGACAGGATGTCTAAGACAAAAAGAAAACTAGTCCAAACAGACCTCTTTGTAGAAGCAGTGCAGTGTTCCTCACTAGCTTCCCGATTGAAATCAAGTCAAGTTACGTGATTTGATACTACATGGAGTTACCCCTAGATTACGGTAGCCTTCCTATGGCTAGCAGACTCTTCAGCCATGACTGAAAACCAGTAGTATTACTACTTTGACCAGTACTTCTACTCTTTCTTGTAAGTGGAACTGCTAACCCTTACAAATCTACAACTCTAAACAGCCCAGGGCTGTGGGCCACCATGACCTGGCAGTCTAATTCTAATCTAGCGTATTCAAACATACACATCTCATGCTCCTGATTCTGTTCATTCTTTTCCTCCAGTGGTAGCCAAAGATACACACAAACAATAAGATTTTCATCTTTATTCTCATCCTCACGTTTCCATGGACTTCCTTTTATGTTTGTGGAGGGGCTGAGCCTTAGGGCCCCAACTGCGTTGCTGATTTTTTAATATTGGTTTCCAGGAAAGGGTGTTTATAGCAACTTCTAATTAAGTGCCTATAACACCTGTGCTATCGTTACCTGTCCTGTATCACTGCTGCCAGACATCTGCCAGACATGCAGCGTGTAGCCCAGTCCTGTGAGCTTGGGGTCAGAACCCTCCAAAGTTCAGAACAGTGATATTGGAGATCCCAGACTCAGACACCAGCTTGAAGCAAACCCTAGTCCCCAGGACTCAGGGGAGGCTGTGGATTCCGAGGCCTGAGAGCTTCACTGCTCCTACCACACTGGCAGAGGCCCAAGTCCAGGACTGGCCTGTAGGTCTAGTTGTTCCCTGAGCGCATCTCTTACTTCACAGTCTTTTCCCTTGATTTCTTCTGTTTCTTCTGTTCTTCATATTCAAGTATTTTCTGTTGGAAGTAGCCTGTGGGTTCAGAAACAAGCATGGGAGATATCTAATCTGCTCAGGTAAAGTGTAACAAGCCCAGGAGTTTGTATCCAGAGATACCTGTTTTGTACCCCAGACACTGGGCTGGGATCCCCCTCCCTTCACAAACCTATAAAGGTCTAAGTATTCAATTTGTCCCAAAAGGTGGATGGGGCAGGGGAATGAGGGTTAGGACACAACCACTGAGCAGGAATTAGTTCTAAACTAAGAGAGAGCCCTGTGCAGCCTTGAGGCATCTCCTTGGGTTTCAGGTTAACTCCTTCCAATCCTAATAGAATTATAGTCTTCTGTGGGCCTCTAGAGAGAAATACCTTTTTCTCCACCTTATTCAGCTTAGAGGTAACACTGTGGTATTGGACTTCTTGGGGGCTGTTCCTGTGTACCTGCAGGAGGAGTCTTGCTCTTCTCAGCCTCCTGAATGAAGAGGGAGAAGAGCTGTGTCTTCACGAACTTCTTCACAAATCGGCGGTTGGTCTTGGAGGTCAGAGCCTTACAGAAGGGCCGTTCTTGGAAGTGTCCTTGCCCATTGGCTTCCCGCTTGATGTAGGAAGCGTAGTGACCTACAGTCTTGACAAAGAACTGAACAAAAGGCCCTGAAACATGCTCGTTGATTTGTTCCGCAGCTGCAGGGGACACAAAAAGGCTATGTCAGGGTGGCTTTTGCTGCAGGCAGAAAGCTCCTGGGGAAAATGGTTGGGTAGGGATTGTAGCTGCTGATGGCAAGTAAAGGAGAGATCAGGTCTATGATCTCTGCCATTACTGAGGAAGAGTACAAATCACATGGTCCCTCAAACCAAGAGGGGCTAGCACTTACTCTTAAACTCGTTGCTCCCTTGGCCGAGGGAGTCCAGGATGTCATCCTGGAGCTTTGGCGGCAGGATGTCTTTTTCATCGCCAACCTAGAACACCAAGTCAACTCAGAGTTGAGCAGTCAGGGAGGAGGTATGGGATGAAGGGGACTGGCAGGATAGGGTAAGGAAGACAAGAATTCTGCATTCCTACCCCATCCCCAAATAATCAGGACATAGCAGAAGCTCTGTCTTCACTTTGGCCTGATTCCAGACATTAGCAAAAGATCCCCTTATTCCCTGTGGTGCTTGATGTACACCTGAAAGGCAATGCCACTGATTGCCTTGTACTAGAGACCTATGGGTCTTTTTCTGGACTCCCTGTTAATACAGATTCTCATACAGCAAAAGTACTGCTGTTTGTTGGAATTAAGTACAACTTGGGTGAAATGAGTTGTTGGGTGAGCAGTAGACCTGCAGGGGGCTCTGAACCCAGCCACTTACAGACAGTAAGAAGGTTCCTTCATGGAGATTCACCAACAGGACCTGAAATAAATAGAATGGTGTTATCTCTTGCCCTTTAGGATATACCTCAGGAGATCTTTTCATTTCCATTTCTGCCAGAAGCTACTCTTTCAGCCCAGGCAGTGAAAACATCTACATCTTTAATCCTCAGGGCCTGTCTGCTGGCATTCTCATCCCCACCATTCAGCTCTGGAAATAGTTCCCTTCCTGCAGAAAGTTGCCTGTGTGTGTCTGTCTTTGAAGAGCTAAGAAAATGCAACGTGGAAAAATCATAGTCAGTGACCCCTAATAAAACATTGCTTGTGGTGCTTTCTTTTACAATCGCAACATTTTAATACATGGCATACATAAGCACTTTGCATACTGTAATTCATATCTAATCCTCACCACAATCCTGTAAGGTAAGTACAATCTCTGTGTTGCAGGTAAGGAAACAGGACTAAAGTAACTAAATAGCCAGAATTCCTACTGCTAACAAATAGAAGCACCAGTTTCCAAGATGGCACTGCTCTGTCTTGGGTTTGCAGTTTTCTCTCTACAACTGTGCTCCAACTCCCTTTCCTCTGGTCTGTTTCAGGTCAGAAGTGGAGTGCTTTGATCTTTTAATGCTTGCAATAGCTTTATGTACAATTGCTGGGAGTTCCAGCTACAATCCTCTCAGACCTTTGGGCCTTCAGCAGTAGCCTTAGGAGGGAAGGAGATAGCCTCAGGTTCAAGGAACAAAGGGAAATAAATGAATCTGGAGCAAAGAGGAAAAGAAACCAAAAGGAAGTGAGGAAGGAGTTGATGTCTCTAGGCTGAAAGTGAGACAAGCGGGTGGCTGGACCTTGTGACTCCTAAGTTGCAGCCCAGCACTGTCAACCTAGGAGTCTCCAGCCTATTACACTTGGACATTGTTCTGGCTGATTACAACCAGCAGTTCCATTTCTTTGATCCTCAAGAGTAGTTCTGAATAACTAATTTCCAGTATTTAACTTGAATTCACATAAAATTTAGACTTTTGACCTCTTCTGAAAAGTCAGAAACTTAAACCCTGACCTACATTTCTAAAGAGTGACCATCAGCTAGCTCTTCCCCTTTAAGCACAACATTACCAGGCTGCACTAATTCCCTAGATCCTGGGCCATTTAGGGGCCTGTGTTGGCTTTGTCTTTTCCATTTACTCTTGAGTGTGAACAATCCCTCCTTGCTCCCTTCTTGAAAATACCAGCACATAAAAAAAGTATGCCAAAAAACAGACGTGTATTGTAATTATGCATCGCAAGAGAGGAAAGTTGAACTAGTCCAGGCCTGAAACCACTTATACCATAGGCTCAGATACCTGCATGCAGAGAAAACTGTTCATTGACCAGGGCAGCGGGAGAGAGGTCGGGAGGAAAGAGTGTGTCAAAAGATTTTTTTTAAATTAGATTGTTTCCAGAAATCTTTCCAGAATTGGAGCATATTATTGTCTATAGGGGAAGTCAGGAGATCTTCTTCCCCGCCCTTCCCCCCCCCACACACACCTCTGCTCACACGGCCCTCACTCCTCCTCCTCCTCCACTGCCCATTTCACAGCTGCTGATGACAGATAAAACAGGCCACGTGTTGGAGGGCAGAAGCCAGGGTCCTTCCAGCCTCGGATGTCTTCCTGCCTGGTCATTGCTGGGAGGGCTGAAGCTCCCCAGGAGCAGGAGTTGCAGAGTCAGGAAGTTTCCTAACTTTTGGGGTTGGGACATGGTAAGTTTTATTGCTAAACACAGAGCTAATACTCTGTCCCAGTTAGTCACGAGGCTCAGTGTGGTTCAAAGGGCATGTGTACTCAGCAGCTCGAGGAGGGGTGGGACAGCCAGGGAAGCAACGAAGGGAAACACACAGCCTGCCTCTCTACCTCCCAGAAGTATTTCCCATAGGGAGGGCTTTGGTGCTTCCTGTGCCAGGTTCCGCTGCTCCCTCTGTGGCCTCAGCTAAGTCAGTTGAGTTCTCTGGACCTTAATTGTGTTAAGCAAAGTGGGGAAACCCCCCCTGCAGTGCTGCCTATACACCTCGGTATAGCTTCCTCCACACTCCGCCTCTCCACTATCTTGGCATAGCCTGAGTCAACGGTTAGCCAGGACAGATGTTCCCTGGGATCTCTCTGGTTTCCAATGTCATAACTCACTATCCTACTGACAATCAAAACAGAGCATGTGTTTGGAGTTATTTTTTCAGCATTAGCAATAAACTCATGTTATTGATTCCTATTTTCACTCCTGAGCCCTCTGTTTCTGGGATATTGCCCAGAAGTAAGAAGCTAGCAAACATCATAAGGAATGTGGCCCTATATCCTCAATAGCCAATTGAGTGCTTGGTTACTGAGAAACATGGTTCTTGCTGCACAAGTCTGCGCCTTGAAGACTCACAGTTTATAGCAGGGCTGTCTGAGCTCACTTCCAAGGAATCTGAATGAGTTCTAGTGGGGTGTGTGTTACAAAGACCAGCTGGGACCATCCATCCAGAGAGACGGGGCATCTCAGAGATGACTTTGTTGCTAGCTAGCACAGAATAGTGTGATGACCCCTAAACATAAGCTTTGTGTCACTGCTTTTCAGCCCAACAGGAAATCACTGCAGAGGAAAGAGCACGCGTTCTTGAGCATCAACTATGTGCTGGGCACTCAGGCAGATTGTTTCCCCCAGAATTCCAAAAGCTTTGCTCAACAAGGGAATGCCACTGGTTCCCAATGGCAGGGCTGTTAGCAGCACAGCAGGGATCCAAGTTCTGCCCTCCCACCCTTGTCTTGTGGCACCATACCTCTTCCATGGGGCTGTCCATAACCTCCTGCAGAAAGCGCATTTGCACTCCAACCATGAAGGGGGTAGGGCAGCAGACAGTTGCCAGGAGGCTCTCCGGAACAACAGGGATGTAGGTATGTGCCCAGCTGAAGGGGTAGAGCAGGGCGGCAGTAGCGTGGATGCATTGAGACAGGGTGCTAGGACAGAACATGAAAAAGTGACTCTCAGAGGGGCCCGGGGCACCTCCACCCCAAACCCGCCTCACAGCCCACTGCCCCGGGCAGCTGCCAGAAGTGCTGACTGGCTCAGTGCAAAGAGGCAAGTCTGGGAGCCCCACTGTTCATAGAGCTTGTAACCACTTGTCTGGAGGAGGAGCAGAGATCAGAAGAGGCCAAGGCTCCACCAAGGGCGGGGTCTCTGTTTGATCTGCTTTTTTCCTCTGTCTGTCTTCTTAGCCCCTTACTGGCAGGAAACAGGAGCAAGCAGCTCTGAAGAAGGGAGGGAAGAAACTACCCTGCAGTGTGTTCACAGTGAAACTAAGGATGTGGGTGTTGGGAAGAGGAAGACACTGGCTCCGCTTTTCAGGAACTTGTGGTGTAGCAAGGAGGCAAACATGGACACACTAGGGGAAGACTTTTTCTCCTCTCTGTACCTGACCACCCTCATGCCCAGCCTCGACCTCACACGGTGCCCTCTGGCCGCTTGAGCCAGTTCAAAGTTACCAGGTTGTTGCTTGAGTTAGCCTGGGAAATCCCTGGGTTCCAGGAACCCCTGCCCAGGAATCCCTACCCGGAAAGTCCCACAGAGGTGGCCCCTCCAGCCTTTCCAACAAAGCATTGCTCCTGTCTTTGCTGCCCAAGTCACAGCTCAGCCTCCCTCCTCACCCTGTAGCCTGTGCCACCTCGTAAACTTCCAAGGATCCTCAACCTGCCAGCCAAACTGCCCCAAAGCCAAGGCCAATAAAAACACACATGTGGAAACTTGTAAAAGCTTGTACTTTCTGAGTTACAAGGAAGGGCACTCTGAGAGTGCCAGTGGGGCACGAGATCTCTGGGAGTGCCTGTCCTGCCTGGGCTTCAGGGGTGGGCTTCAGGGGTCTGCAGACTGGGCATGGAAAAGAAGAAGGGAGTGGTGACACTTCCCTGGAGAAATGGCACGCCAGGATGTACACCCTGCCCCTTTTGCTTCCTAAATGCTGACCTGTGTGTGCAGAGAAGTCAGAACTCCAGCCGCAGCTGCCACAGAAACATCTTTTCATAGAGGGAGAGAGCTTTCCTAAGTAAAAGAGCATGCCACGCCTGTCAGGAGGAGTAGCTTGCAACTAGTTCCTTCGCAGTTATCACCAATTTCAGATGTTGTTAGACTTTTCAACAAGCAGAACTCATTCCTTGCTCAAGCTTCCCTCTCCTCTGTCACCCATAACATCCACCTGACCCTGCCAATTTCTGTCATTTCAGTCCCTAATATCCTTTTCCCCAGAAAAGCTAGAACCAGAGTTTTTAGTCCAATGCCATTAGTCCTCTCTACTTCCCCAGATAGGCAGCAATAGGTCAATCACCTACTATTTTGTATTCATTTTTGTTTTGTTCTTCTCCACTCTATCACTTGTCTCTCCATGTTTCTTAGACTTGAAAACACCCTGTTTCAACTACAGGCAGGATACATTCAACTGTGAACTTGATAAAAGAATATCTAGCACTTACCAGCATGTGCCTAGCAGGATGACAAATACCTAGTGTGTATGATTTATTTTAATTCTCTCCTCAACCTTATGAGGATCCTCAGAAGGTATAATCATTTCCATTTTACAGAGAAGATCATGACCTCAAGAAGTTAATAAACTAACTCAAGGGAGCCTCATAACTAGAGGTGGACAAATTTAATCCTCATTCTGCTTCTGCCCATGACCTTGTGCTTTCAACCACCAGAAAATTCTGCAGCCCCCAAGGTCAAGGATCATGTCTTTCTTGTGTCTTCCCAATGCCACACAACTGGTGAACAGCAGGCACATCATAAATGTTTCTTGAGTGGGTAAATAAATGGGCTTAACCTCCATAGCATCGTAGACCTTCCTGTCCTGTTCTCCACCCTCCTTCCATCCCTCCATTTTGCAAGGGCAGAATCATCTCTGCATCTACCCTGGCCAGTCCCACCTAGGCTGTCCCAGGAATACTTCCTGCTCTTCTCAGAGCTAAGTCAGGGACCCCTTTCTGGACCAGGCAACAATCCCATTTGGAGAGTCGGGCAGGGCGACTGCACCATCTGCTTCTCTAGACTTCAAGTGTAGCCCCAGGACCTGAGAGTGGGAGGGTGCACACGGGGTTCTACTGCCCGACTTCCTCTGGAGAACCCCAGGCTGTGCCCTTAAGCCCAGGGATTCCAGCCCACCCAGAGCAGTCACTCTGGCTGAACTCACCTGAGACCTTCGGCCAGGAAGATGATTTTTCTCTCTAGCACCGCAGAGGCAAAGATCTGCAGAATCTGCTCATAACGGAGACAGTCCAACAGAGAACTGAAATCCACATGTTCTAGATGGGAGTCCAGGGGCCGTGTCAGGGAGATGAACTGTGGGGAAACAAGAGTGAAGGAGGTCATCACACAATCACACAGACCTGAGTGCTGGGCCTCTACACCAAGCTCCCCATAAGAGAGAGCTGATGCTGTCTCTCCTCTCCTTCCCTGCTAAAAACCCACATTATATTGCTTTGCTCCACTCTGAGGACAACCATGGGGTCAGCATTAGCTCTGCCCACTCTCTAGCGCCACAGGGCATCACATCAACATCTTGGCCTTCCAAACCCACAGCCTTCCTGCCGCCTGCCTTCCTGGGTGAGGCTGCACCTGGGTGGCTCACTTGCCTGCATTCCTCCCCACCTTCAGGTCTCAGAGCTCCTCCCTGGCCACCTTGCACTTCGCTGTGGCTGTGCAATTTCCATCTCAATTATGCTATTTCTCATGATGCATAGATTGCTGAGTTTGCTCACTTAGTGTCTGTCTTCCCCACTGGAATTTCAGCTTCACGAAATCAGGGGCCACACTGTTCACCACTGTGTGCCCAGAGAATAGCTCAGCACACTGTAAGCACTGAGGACTTATTTTTCAAGTAAATGGGAAACTTAAGCCTCCCACCTTATTTTTCCCATAGGGAAGCCAACTTGCAGAGGGGCACCCATCCCCCGACCCAGGGACCGGAACTGTAATTCTAGAACAATGAATGTGGCTTTTGCTATCTCAGTCTGTTCAGCGCCTTGAAACAATCACATCCTCAGAAGGAATGGGTGGGACTCTGGGCAGATGGGATAAGTAAACAAATAGAAGCTGTAAGGTGGAGAAATAGGACAGACAAGGACCACAGGATGGGGTGTGAGGACAAGGGGCTGTTTAGGGGCTGGGGGCAAAGTCCTTTCTAGCACCAAAAATCTCCACTTCCAAGGCTTGTGGATTACCAATTAAAAAGTCTGAGGGTTTTCACAATAACTTAGAGCTGTGGGCATTAGGTTAGAAGAACCCGCAAGTTTGCATTTGCTTTTTAGGTCTGCCAACAACTCTAAGTGCCAGTCTCCATCTGGCTGAGTTTCTTTGTACTTGACTGGAGATGAGAGATGTCAGGGAAGTCTGGTGGCTCGAACCTGTTGTGCTAACCCACCTCAGTGCCTGAGTCAGGGATGAAGCTCTTGAGTGTGACAGTCCTCCCAGGAGCAGGGAAGGATGCCTCCCGGAGGCCCTGCATGAATGGGTAGATGACAGCCATGGAGATCTGATGCCTCTTCTCCACTTCATCCAGGATCTGCAGGGAAGGAGAACCCCCACCGGGGATCACAGCTTAGAGGACGCAACTGGGCAGAGGGCAGAGAGCTCACGTGCCAAGCACCATGAGGGGCTCACGTGGTGCCTCCACCTGCTGGTTCTCCTGCTCCCTCCTTGACAAAATCTGCTCTTGTGCCAAACAATCTGCTATTTACTGCCTGCACAGCAGCTGCCTCCTTCCCTTGCCTTCACCTTCTTCATCACACCAGATGCCTCTTTTCTCCTAACAACACAACACTGCCCGCTAGGAAGTCCTCCAAGGGCTAAGGCATTACCCACAACAGCGCCACACTCATTTGGGCTGCTCAGAGTGGGAACCCACAGACCTAAATCTCTCTGCTCTCCAGCTTGCACTGGAGGCTTCCCGCATCAAAAGCTGCCTTCTCTTCTCAGAGGTGAACGCTGAGTCCACGCAAAGCCACAGCATTTCCTCCCCTCCTCCCAGGGTCCAGCTGAAGGCAGAACATGCTCTGATCCTGCCATAGGTGCATCAACACTCAACTGAGTTCAAAGAAATTCCTGCTATTTGCTCAGTGCTCTGCCTCTCCTACATCACCTTATTTGATACCACTACGAGTCTAGAGATAAAAGTGCAGGGGCCATACTCTGCAGATCATCATATCCAGGTGACAGCTAAGAACGTAGAAACTCAGGGCAAACGTTTTCCAAGGCTGTGCCCCTTGGCTGCTCCAACTGCTTCCTAACCTGACCAGTGAGAACAGCAGCTCCCCCTGCAGTAGCCTTCACTTTTCTCTAAAATCAAGTCAGTCTAGCCCAGGCACTTCTGCCAGGGGTTTTCCCAGGTGTGTCCTGATGTCCACCGAGGCTGAGGGGGTGGTTGCAACTCAGGGCTCAGCTTGCACAGGCAGGACTGGCAGATGGGCAGCACCTGGGAGCCGAACCCGCCCAACAGGCCCCAGGGATTCCCGCACCACTCCTACCTTGGAGAACAAGCCGAAGCAGCCGATGCAGCTGATGATGCAGTACACCCGGGGAAGGCGAGGGCCAGGGCCAGCAGGCTACAGAGGGACAGAGAAGCACCTTCAATGCTGCAGCCTCCTCTGGGACTTCTGCCAGCTAGGGCTGATGGGGCACAAGGCAGAGGGCTGGGCAGAAGGGAGAACGAAGGCAGGGGGTACATGGACCAGGGTTGTGCCATGCATTGGTCAGGCAGCAAGGAGGTCAGAACAGCCACCAAGGTCAAAAGAAGATCCTTCAGGGGCCCAGCAGGCCCCCAGGCAAACACTGCCACCTTCAGGACCAGCACAAGCTGGGGCTCAGCAGACACAGGAAGCAAGTGCATCTTAGAGATGAAGAAATGGCTAGGGAAAGGCGGTACTGGAAAGGCGGCTTAGAGGCTCCTCCTGAGACACAAGAACTAAACCTCATTGCCCAAATTCTAGGTCTGCTCTGCAGCCAACAGGCTTGGACAAAGAAGGCAAGGACAGGAGTCAGTTGAAGCCCTTCGCAAAGAAAGGGGAATTTTGGAGAGCAAAGGCCAAGAGGAGAGCTCAGACTAGAGCATGGACAGCAAAGGTCCCCGGATGAGTGAGGAGGGGCATTATGTCATCATTTTTGTGGGTTTGCAGGGATGGGGCACAAACAAAGCAGCAGGTGCTGGGTTGGACTCTCTCTCTCTCTCTCTAGCCACCACTCCCAGGGAGCCTGAGCTTCTGCAGCAGAGGCTTGAGCAAGGCCAGCTGTGGAGCTGAGGAGGGGTTAGTTCTGAGCTGTACAGACCAGGAGGCGCCTGCAGTAGCCGATCTTCCTGCTCCCATCCACATTGGTCAGGACGAAGGAAAATGTCTCCCTAAGAAAGAGCAGATGGGCAGTCAGTGTCAAGGTCAACCAAGGGCTGCTGACCAATCATGGTAGTAATAACATGCCTACTAAGTGCTCCTAGGTGTTGAGCCCTAAGTGCCTCATCTCATTTAGTTCTCCAAACCCATCTTTTGATATAGGTTCCGTATTTATACTCTCTCAAAGGCTCTGAGGGAGCGTTTCTCATCCATACTCAATCAGCTCAAAATTTAATCTCAGCCAATTTCCAGGGCTTCAGCAGTAAGGACTTTTGCTATATAGTCTTCCTCTTGAGGCCAAGACCTCCTGCAAAGCCCCAGTGCTGCCAGCAGCAGAGACAAAAAGAGTGCTCACTATGCCGAGGTTAGGTGACCAAATGTCACCCATCTTTGCGCAGTGACCAAACATAGCCAATATCCTTGGCCTTGAGAGATCCTAGGCAGGATGTTTACAGGTAAACATACTTGGAAATATATTATTATACACCACAGGTGAGGGCGACCACAGGAGCCCCATGACTCACCCCTGTCCCTCTGCCCTCTATCAGATACCCCTAGCCCGGGGCTGAGCATTACCTGGGATACTCAGTGAGTGGTGCCCACTCATTCCCATCTGGGAAGCAGAACAATGGGATGGCTTTGAGCAGCCGCTCCTCCTCCTCCTGCTGGCCCCGCAGCAGGTTCTCCCGCTGTAAGAAAAAGGAGAACGATGTTGGAGGAGGGGACTTGGGGGCTAGGAGGCTTCTTTGGATCACTACAGCCATTTGAGGACAAGCCTTCCCACTGTTCTGGGCACCCAAACTTGCTTTAGCCTGTTATCCTAAATGGTCTGCATCCTAGAGACTGCCTGGTTGGTCCTGAAGTTAAGATGTGCTCTTCTGGGTCCTATCAACACAAACTGGGTTGGCTTTCACTATCTTGAAGATGTACATATTTCAGGAAGAGTGTCAAGGGACCATCCTGAAGACAGAAAGGCCCTGAGATGGCACAGCCATGTGGGAGGATGACATAAGTGAGACACCACATCAGAGATGAGAAGCGGCCAACTCAGTTGCTGCACCTGTTAACACAGAGGCTAAATGGGCCCCTTCAACCAGGACATAATCACCCAAGAAGCAGCCCAGTGCTTGTGCTATGACAGAGCACAGTGCTTGCCCACCAGCCAGGCACTTGCCCACCATCCTTCCTGCACAGCCTAGGGAGGTGATCCTTCCGGGAGGTCCAGCAGAAGATACGTTTCTCTACAGAGAAGGGTGACAGAACTTAGAAGAACTTGGGTGGGAGGATCCACAAAAAGCAGCAGCTCTAGCCTTATTCTTCTGCTTGGGAGCTTAGGGCAAACCTTAATTCTGCAAGCGAGAACAATTTTCTGTTATCTGGCTAAGAAGGAAATGGAAAGTAGTGAGCTCAGAGCTCAAGCCCCGGCAAGACAGGGAGCAAGAGACCGGAGCCCAAGGCAGCTGCCATGCAAACACGCCTCCCTCCAGGCCGTACCTTGGGAAACTGGTAGGTGATGGTGGGCTCATAGTCATCCCCTAAAATCTTCTTTTTCAGGGAAACCACCAGAAGGTATTCAAAGAAGTGCTGCCCTCCAGCAAAATTGGGCAGAGGGTGTTCCTGGGTCCTTTCTGGCTCCTTTACAGCTTCATTCTGATTGTCCTGGGAAGATCCTGAAACCAAAAGAGCAGGACCCATTCACTCGCTGCCTCACCCAGCCACAGAGCAGAATCTGAGAATCTGGGCAAGCCTCCATGCCTCCAAGCCACCACACCAGCCTGGACCGCACCAGCGGTCACGAATTGGGACCAGAGCCAAGCGGGCAGTTTCCACACCTGCCCTGGGAGACCTGAAACCCTGCGGAGCTGGGAGGGAAGAGGGCAGAAAACACTGGTGCAAAGCCAAGGAAATGCACTGCAGAGGCCACAGCAGGCCCTGGGCCGGGGGCCACCACACTCAGTCTGCTCCCAGGGTGTCCTGGGGCACTCCTAGAACTGTATGGCAGAGAGAAAACCCAGAACCCCACAGTCACAACAGGCCCCTGGGGCATATGACTATGAGCCCAACAACCCCACAGAGGTGCCTGGTCAGCTCCACACAGCACCAGGAAAACCTCTGGCCTATCACATGGGGGACCACAGGAGGTGGAGACACGAGGGCAGAAGGGAAAGGAACATTTTAAGGAAGCAGCAGCAGCCCCATGTGAAAGGGCCACCCTCCGCCCAGAAGGAAGTGGGCAGTCCAGTCCTGACCTGCTTGGCGGTGAAGCAGCCGGTTTCGGAAGACCCTGAGTGCCTGGCCTACCACTCGTCCTTCCATCTTCCCAGGCCTTCGGGGCATGGAGTACACCCCTGCTCCCAGCACAGGCTGCCTACAGAGAGCCCTAGCCAGCCAGGAGCTGCCGCGTCAGTCCCCTGCCACAGGAGCCTTGAGCAGTCCTCTATCGGAGGCGGAGGCGGGGAGGGCAGTTTCCATCCTCTGCACCCTTTCGGGGGGAGCTAGGAGGATGTGACGGGACCCAGGAGGTAGTCAGAAGCAGGCACTGACAGAGGCAGCATCCTGGCACTGCTGCTTGAGGTCTCAGCTCCTCCCAGGAGCCCCAGGGTGTGGTAACAGAAAAGGTCATGAGCAAACACCTCCAGAGAGAGCCCAGCTGCTTTTGGGCTCAGGGCTTTGAACTTGCCAGCAAGCAGCAAGCACGCAGAGAGTTGGTTTACAACCTCAGGACAACGAAGAAGAATGTCCCATAGCATCAGGCTGTGGCTACTGGATCCTCGCTGCTCTCGAGACGGGCATCTGATAGCCTCATAACTTGGACTGCTGACCTTCCACTTCTCAACCTGGTCAACAACAGCCAACCATCCCTGCAAGGTCATCTGCTACATTCTAGAATTTCCAGGCCTTCCGGACCCCAACCAAGAGCACAGGACTAAAACAACAAATGCCACTGCCTTCCCTGGATTAAGATAAGTTGACCTGATAATTCTGTAAAAGGAGCAATTCTAGCGGGAGAGGGGATCCCAGAAATCACTGCCTCTCCTACCCCCGACCCTTCCTCCGCACCCCTGCCTCCCATGCCCGAGGGTCTCCTGATGGCGAGGCTGAGCATTCCTGCTCTTTCCGCAGCACCCGTTACAGCGACCTGCTCACCAGGCAACGGTCCAGGGTAAGGCCAAGGAGACCTGATCAGGGCTCCAGCAGATTTTCTCTTCCCGAAAGAGGAAGCTCTGATTCAGACTGACCCTGGCCTGGGGTGGCAGCAGCCTGAGGGCCACTTGTTGAACAGCATCGGGCTGATCAATGCTATGGGCAGAGCTGCTAGCTTACTTCTGTATCTGGAGATAGGGGAGAATAGCAGCAAATCACCTGGGATTCTCACAGACACCCTGAATGAAAAGTCTGCATGGATCAGAGGACAGGCCTCTTAGCACGGAGTTGTCTCAAAGAAGACAAAGGGGATAAAGGGGTTTGGTGCCAGCATCTGTCTGCCATGCCTGCCAAGAGCGGTGTACCCTGTGGATGACAGAGAGGTCCCCGAGTAGGGGGAAAGGCTACTTTCCTCCTGAGATTGCTAGACGCAGGGTGGGCATCGGGCATAGAGGTTGCTGGGGTGTGAATCCTGGCTTTACTTGCAATCCTGGCTTTCTGCTAACGTGCACCATGAGAGGCAGAGGGGATGAGCCCAGTGCATGGGGCCCCGCTTCCCATGAGGGAGGCCTGGACTGAGTTCCGGATGCCTGGCTTCAGCCTCGCCCATCTGGGAAGTGAACCAGTAGACAAGAGATCTCTGTTTCTCTGGATCTATCCCTCTTTCCCCCTTTCAAATAAATTAAGAATACATTTTTTTAAAGGAGTTTTAGACCTGGCTTTTATCAGACTAATAAAAACCAAGACCCAGTGGTGCAGTCATGACTCCTGGACAAGAACAAGCACAGTAAATAAGGATGCTGGGAAAGTTGTAGTGGGTAAGAAGCATGAGCTGGAACCCTCAAAGCTGTCAGCCACACCTTATTCACATCCTGTACAGACTTGAACAGTCCTCATCTCCTCTCTGGGGAGACTGAGGCACAGTGGAATTAAAGGGCTGCTTAAAATTTACGAGCTTTGGGCCTAGTGCAATAGCCTAGCAGCTAAAGCCCTGGCCTTACACGTACTTGGATCCCATAGGGGCACTGGTTCTAATCCTAGTGGTCCCACTTCCCATCCAGCTCCCTCCCTGTGGGCTGGGAAAGCAGTTGAGGACAGCCCAAAGCCTTGGGACCCTGCACCTTCGTGGGAGACCTGGAAGAAGCTCCAGGCTCCTGGCTTCAAATCGGTGCAGCTCTGGCCATTGTGGCTGCTTGCGGAGTGAATCAACAGATGGAAGATCTTCCTCTCTGTCGCTTCTCCTCTCTGTGTATCTGCCTTTCCAATAAAAATGAACAAATATTTTTTAAAAATTTACTAGCTTCATGGTGACAGGCAGGTTATGGAAGTTTGTGTGCACCCTTTTGTTGTCCGGGCACACTCCACATCCAGCATTGCACAGGTTTGCAGCGTACTTTGAGAACCAGCATCTTCTTGCTGATCTTTGAGAGTCTCAGGAAATCATGCCTTTTCCTAAATCCTTCGGGCAGCATTTTGAGCCCATTTCCTCCTGCCTTATCAGGAGAGTCAACAGAACACCAAAGCTCAAAAAACCTTGACAAATAAAAAGGAACTGAACTTGTGAGCAGAGGCTTCTAGTAATCCAGAAAAAAGATGGCTTTCTCCCCTACTTCCAAAAGGGGTGATCCACAGAAAGGCGTCAGAGAAAACTAAATTCCATCAGACACAGGTTTCACAGAAGGCGTCACTTTTAATCCCTGCGCCCTAGCAAGAAGCAATTATCCCCAAATTTAATCAAGGAGGGACCCACCCTTTCTAGGGAAATCAGGGGTCAGGTTACACTGGTTCCTCCACCAGGAAGCCCCTCCCACAGCCACCTAACTGCAGTGCCAGAGCCGGGTAGAATACAGCAGGGGAGACTTTGGGAATCCTTCCTCTTTCTGCTCGGTCTCTTTCAGCCCATGACAACCTCCACACTACTCTTTTGCACCAGCATGACTTACACACACACCCCCTCCTAATACACAACCCCTGAGGGCCAGGAAGGTGAAGGATGGAGAACCCACCTTCTCCAAGCCTGGCAGTGCTGTATCTCAGGACATCTAGTATTGTCCTTTCAGCTCAAGGTCCTCAAGGTCCCCAAGGTCCAGAAAGTTCTTCCTGGTACCACCACCAGCCACATGTCCAGGCGCTGGTGAACTGGAACCACTGGAATGTCCTCTGGCCTGCAGGGAACAGTCCCATGCCCTCGGTGGACTTCCAGGGAAAACAAGAGGTAGGCACTCTCTAGAGAAGACAAAATGCCAGCTAGCTATCCCTGCCCCCCCTCCCCCTTAAAGCTCCCCCCACCCCCACCCCACCGTTCTGCACAGGGCCAGGCCTCTATCGGCTGAGCTCTTCCTCCAGGTATGTTGACAGGAAACCCTGTGTTCATGAGGAACAACAAGGATGTGGAAGGAACAAAGGCAGAACACACTCAGAGGTCACTGCCTCACCCCCTGGGGTGGCCCTCACGGGGGCTTAGAGCAGCCTTTTGCCTCACCAGTGTCAGAAGGGGTGGGTTGTCTGGGCATGACTCATGTTCTCAGAAGACAGGAGCCTCTGGGCAGAGCATGTTGGGGCTCTTTGTGCATGGGACGCTGATGGGGTGCAGCAACAAGTTTGCTGAATGAATGAATAGGTTTGTGAGTTCCTGTCTGCCTCCCAAAGCCCAGGGCTCCCGCTGAGAAGGGAGAAACTACTGCTATGGACTTCAAATCAACTCCACCAGCCCAGAAGCGGGGACGTGGTCCCAGTTCTCTGATGAGCCTGGAGAGGTGAGGTGGGAGCTGCCGGCCCCGGCTCACCCAGACCTTCCTGCAGGGCATTCGCTGCTGGTGCCAGCCCGCGGTCAGGGAGCCGCCAGTGACTATCAGCTGGCTCCCAAGAGCCGGGCAAAGGCCACAGCAGAGTGGGGCCCCACGGTGGAGCCGGTTCCGGACTGAGCTGGTGCCTTCCAGGAGGCACAGCTACCCGGGCACTTGGGGCACCCTGCGGTTGCACCACAGCTTCCCGGATGGCAGGACACGTGGCTCTGGGGGCCCCACAACGGTTTCCTTAAGCCAGCCGCCTCCCCGACACCCCCGCAGGTCTGCCCACTCCTCGGACCTCCGTCCCCACCCCCTCTTGACCCTTTCCTCCTTTCCACCTGCGCCCTCTTTCCAGCTCACCTGACCCCCAGCCCAGCTCAGTCCTCCCGACTCCCTAGCAAACCGGCTCCGGCAGCCGTGCCTCCGCGCCAGCCTCCCCGGCACCCGCCCCCCAGGCGGCAGCCTCGGGCTCTCGCGCGCCTCGGTCCCCGCGCCCCTGGCCCGGCGCGCCCCGGCCAGCACTAACCCCCACGGCCGCGCTTCAGTCTCAGGCTGGCTCGCAGGCGGCGGCCGAGCCCATCCATGGCCCCTGCAGCGCCCGGCGCCAGTTCCCAGGTTCCGCACCGGCCCCGCCCCCCAGTCGCTGAACTCCTCGGGCCCCGACACTTTCGCTTTCACGCGGGGGGTGGGGGGAGTCAGGAGATGGGGAACCCAGGAGCCTGGCCGGGGCGGAGCGGCGCACCTTCCGGGCTCCGGCCCAACCCCTGCGCACCTGGGCGGGCCCGCTCTGCAGCTGGCAGCGCGGCGTGGGGTGACAGAGGCTCTCGTGCCGGCATCCGGGAGGGGCGGCGCCTCGCGCGCCCGCACCCCACCAGGCTTGGCGAACCCATCCGCAGTTCCCAAACGTACGCAAGGGGTAGCTGCCGAAGTCACCCCCTACCTCCAAGGTGAGAGCTCGGAGGCGCACCTTCTAGCCCCTTCTAATGCCAGAAGGGGACAGAGTTTTGAGGTTTCACATATCTCAGTCCCCTCCACCTTTCTCGGCTGCTGCTTTAGCTTCTTGCCAGGTGTCCTGCCGTATCTTGCCCTGGGATGATGTAGATCACAACCCTAGGCCTGCTGGCCACACAGTCTGGTATTAGGCAGGTCAGAAACGTTGGGGCAGCTCCCCTGATGCTGCCCCTGAGAGGTGTGAAACTTCGGGAATGTGTTCTGTGACACACACTTAAAGGACTTTTATTGACATCACTGATGCCACTGCCTCTTCTCCTACCCAATCCCAAGGACTCAATGCAGAGCCCTTCAGCTTCTTCTCCCTCCTTTCACCCTCACTCCCAAAGACACCCAGATTTCAACCTGCAGTTTCAGTCAAGGATGTTCTGTGCTTGGTAAGTGTCACTTGCCACTAAGCTTTGACCGTAGCTCCCTGCCCAGGAAGGGTATCTAGGGGATGAGGAGTACAGTGCATTTAACCCCTGCTTTAGAAACAAGAGGCAAAAGGAAGAAGACCCTCCAGCAGAACTGTCCCGGTCCCTGGAGCTGACTCCCATCTCCTTGTCCTCATGTTGGCTTCAGGTGACTCTGGTTACAGACTACGGGTGAGCAGGAGCTGGGACGCCAGCCCTAGTATTAAACTGTCTAATTTTAGCACAAGGCTTCTAAAAGTTGACTTGATTCTGGGCGTGTGCAATTTTGTACTTGATTATACAGTATATTTCTGTTCCCTAGTCTGTGTGTATTAACAAACACAAGGACACACTTGTTTCCCAAGTATCTTCTCATGGCTAGACTGTCTTTGTCTCTCTAGGTAGAATACCAGTTGCTCATAAGCTTACTCAATTTGTTAACTGTTTTTCTGCTTTAATTTTCCTAACCTATTTCATAGCCTGACCAGCAAAACTGCATCCTTCCTTTAAAAAACAGAGAGGCTGATGTTGTAGCATAATGAATAAAGCATGTGCAATCAGCATTCCACATGGATTCTGGTTCTTGTCCAGGCTGCTCTGTTCCCAATCCAGCTCCCTGATAATGGCCTGGATAAAGCAATGGAAGACGGCCCAAGTGCTTGAACCGCTGATATCCATGTTGTAGACCTGGATAAAGCTGCATGGCTCATGGTTTCAACCCAGTCTAGCCCTGGCCACTGTTGGTCACTTGGGCAGTGAATAAGCAGCTGTCTTACTCTGTTCTTCCATCTTTCTGTAGCGCTAACTTTGCAAATAAGACAGGATGAAGTGTGTCCTTGTATACCAAAAAAGATTAAAAGGTTCATAAAAACCATATCTGAAATAGTCTCCAGCTGGAGAGAGCTCCACATGTCCATTAAGAGGAAGAATGATCGTTTGCAGAGTATTCATACAACCCAAATACTACATAGTGGTCAAGTCAAGTAAGACACCAGTGCATGCAGAAACATGGTCGCAGTGCTCAAACATAACCTTGAGCAAAAGAATCCAGACACAAAGAGCATCTAATGCAGGAATCCACTCATACAAGGTTTAAAGTGGGCAAAATTAATCTATGTTAAGAATAGTGAAGATGGTGTTACTTTTAGGGAAGAGAATCAAAGGAAGATTGGGAAAATTCTGCAAATGTTTCCGGGTGCTGATGATGCCCTATTTGCTAACCTGGTGACAAATGTACTTTGGCGATCAATGATACAAACTTCAGTCCCCCACATCCTAATAATTTCTCATTTGATTCTTAAATTTTTTTCTATCTGTGCATGGGGCTTTAATTTTGAAAAGATTTACTAAGAATGCATTAAGAAGTTAGGGTGGCATTAATGAGGGGAGTGAAATGCATTCTTAGTAAATCTTTTTAAAATCAAAGTCTCACGCACAGACAGAAAAACATTTAAGCATAGAGTATAAAGAATGATCAGTGAAGTACACCCAAGAATTAGGAAATAATATCTGAAGACTGGAAACAAAGATAATCTTTTACACTACTACTAAGAGTTGCTGGAACCAACATCCTCAATCTCTCTTCCTCTCTTCTGGACAATTGTTTTTGCTCAAGTTTGAGGACACATTCATTCATGGAATCCTCCTCGACTGAAGCTCCTGTGTGATTGACTGGTCCTGTTATTGTCTGGCCTCATTTTGTGTCATTTGGTCCCTCCTTAGATCATGCTTCCCGTTCCCCGGAAGTGCCAAGATACATTCACTCCAAGCATTTCCCCCCATTGCTGATCCTCTGCCTCAAATAATCTTCACGGGGTCCTCATCCTTTAACTTTTGTTCATGCTTCCTATTTTTGCTTAAAAGACTTTCCCCCAGAAGTCTTATTGACCCTTCTTCCCTTTAAATCAGATCCACCAGTTATGCCCTTGTCAAGTCACGCTATTACCTTTGTTTCCTTGGGCACATTCAGTGTAATGTGTAGACATATGTAGGTTGCTGAGATTATCTGTATAAATACTATCTCCCTTTCTAGAGTCATCCCAAGGTGACATGGATTGTATCTCTTTTGCTCAACTCTATGTCCTGTTGCCCAGAACAGTAGCAGCACACATAGATACTCAGGAAATATTTGCTGAGTAAATGGAAAAGTAAAGGTAGTCTACCTTAATCCTATGTCTGTAGGAGGTAGAAAACTAATGGAAATAATTGATATTCTAAGCTCTAAGAGGCAAACCCTTTGGTTGCCTAACACCCATCTGGGATGGCATACAGATATTTTTTTCTGCCTCTGGGCATCCCTGGTGTTGGATGCCATGGCAGGAAATGTTGAGATGAAGCCAGAACATGCAGCAGTACAAGAACAAGGTACTCTCAGGAAAGTGCAAATGGGGCAGGAGCCAAGGATTGCTGACAGGCTTGGAGTCACCCCGTTCTGCCTTCTGTTCACCTAAAATAATAACTTGGATTCAAGGCAGTGAGCCATCTAAGCACATCTTTCATGGCATCCCAACACAAACACACACACCGAAGACAAAAATAGAACAAAAAGCTCGCAACACAGTACCGCTTTACTGTGTGCAAGTAGGAGCTTTCATTCAATTGTTTTTCCATTCTCTAATGTATTAAAAAATATGCCTGTTTGTGATGCCCCAAAATATTTGCACCGCTCCAAAAATGTGTGTGACCAACAATTTGTAACAATTTTTTGGTTTTCTGTTACTTTTTCTGATAACTCTGCTACTAGACTACCTGAGTTGGTATTCTAACTTTGCCAATGCTAGTTTTGGGACATCGAACAAGTTTTTAGCTTCTCTGTGATGGGGTAAATAGCGGTGCCTGTTTTATATGGTTGTTTTAAGGATTAAATGAATTAGTACATGTAAAGGACATGGAATGGAAAGCCATTGGGAAGTCTGAACAGGAAGTTGGCAGGATCCCAAGAAAAGAAGTAAGATGTGGCCTCTGTCAGCATGAAGTTAGCACTTGGATGGAAAAGAGAGACTGCAGAAGGACTGGGGCGGAGGTAAATGCAGAGTAGGCCAAGGTCATGAGGAAGAAGCCTACATTCCACCCTAAAGAACCAAATCTAGGCTCGGGAAGTAGGTTTGGGAGCTTTTTACTTACTTTTTCTAAAAATGCCAATTTCTTTTTAAAAAATTAGGCTAATTTTTAGAGAAGTTCTATGTTTTTAAAAAGACTAAGCAAGATATTTTCTGACCCCTACCCACACAGATTTTAGCTATCTTTAATTCATTACTGTTGCCTAGTTTACATTGGCACACTATAGTTACTAACTAAAGGCCATAGCTAACATTACAGTTCACTGTTTTTCTGAGCATCTTGCAGATTTTGACAGGTGTATAGTAACATGTGCCTACCGTGATGGTGTAACACAGAATAGTTTCACTGCCTTAAAACCTTCTGTCCTCTGCCATTCTTCTCCTGGCTTGCCCCCCAAACACTGACCTTTTTAAATGCCTTCCATAATTTTGCCGTTTTCCAGAGTGCTTTATAGGGAATGTGACCTTGTCACACAGGCTTTTTCCACTTAAACTTATCTACTTACCACTTAAAAATCTGTCTGGATGCAGAATGGATTCCTAAGAAAAAGAGAGCTTCAGCTTGCATTCTGTTAATTTCTATTTTTCTTCCTGTTGTTCTTTTTGTAATTGTGGCTTTCCATTTAAGGGATGTGTAGTAACTGTGTAATGGAGACTATCATGCCCAGATGTGAGGATACAATGCAGTATGCATCTCTACTTCCAGACTAAAGATGGACTCCCAGTGGAACTGTTTACTATATCTTGACAATAGGATGCTGGACTCTCTGTTATTGTCCATACCCGCATTAAGGGACATATGACTGTGTAAGAAGAACTATACTTTAGTCATGATATAGGGGAATTCAATGAGGGGGGAGGAAATTGGGGAGGGGTAAGAGAAACCCCAGGGCCTATGGAACTGTATCATATTATGATAATAGTAATAATAAAAAGTAAAATTTAAAAAGTGCATTTTCAGGGCAGCATGGAGCTTTGAATGCTGAATAGGCCTAGCCAATTTCCTTGAGAATCATCTGCTTCATAAATATTTGTTGAGCAAATGAATGGATGAATCCCTAGCCCTGGGACTCCAACAGCAGCAGATGGTCAGTATGGAACTGTTGAGCTGCATTATAGGCTCAGCACCTTGATTACATTGAGGGGGTTCCAAGTCCTACTTAATGGTTTACTTAAGGGAAACACATCACTCTCTTGTGTTCCAGAATACTATGATACGTGTTTTACAAATATGATTTCAAATCAGCATGACCAATAATCCTTTGAGCTAGATACTGCTATTCCTGCTTTATAGATGAAGAACCCGGATCAGGGATGCGAAGAACTTTTGCCAGTGTCACATGAGAACCACGTTTCCAGGTTGGTGGAGCACACCAATGGGTACTCAGCATGTGTGGAGTCCCCACATTGCCGGAGGTGCTTCTGTACACAAAGCTTCCTGATGTCCTCCAATAGGTGTACTGTGAGGCCAGTCAAGTTAGTCTGCTTACTGACTCTAAAATGCCCAGCCCATTTTTACTTTCTACACAGAGATATTCCCCAACAGTAGAACTCGTTTGATTCTCTTTTTCCTGTGTGGGAAAGAGGTTCATTGTAGTAGGTGTCACAGTGGCAGGAAGTTCTCAGAGATATTAATCGCCACCTAGAGATAAGGCACCCACGTAATTCCACCCTAAAACAGAGGTTAGGGGCCACTGTTCATCAAGATAGAAGGTAGGAGGGGGCCTGAAGGTCATAGGGAGCTTTGTAATTCATTCAAGATTCTTAGATGGTTCTATCCAGAATTATAATTTAAGATGCTCAATTTTCTACAACACTTCAAAATCAGAAAAGACTTCTAAATCTGACAAATGAGATACCAAGCAAGTCTCTTTTTCTCTTTTAAACAAGGTCTATTAGTATACTTATTTGAAATGCAGAGTTATAGAGAGAGGGGGAGAGTCAGAGAAAGAGATCTTTTGTCCACTAGTTGCATTCCCAAATGGCCTCAATGATCAGAGCTGGCCCAGTTTGAAGCCAGGAGCCAGGAGCCAGGAGCATCGACCAGGTTTCCCACTTGAGTACCCAAGCACTTGGGTCAACTACCACTGCTTTCCCAGATGCATTATCAGGGAACTGGATGAGCAGAAAAGAAGCCAGAATTCAAACCAGTGCTACATGGGGTGTCAGCACTATAAGTGGGGGCTATACTCGCTAATCTGCAGTGCTCATTCCAAAACAAATCTTGTAAATTAAACAAGCCCACTGATTGAGTTTGTAGAGAATAAACATGGTAATAGTATGAGAACAAATCACTCTACCTGAATGAAAACAACCGACCCAAAATGCTGATCCTGAATTTATTTCCTTATCGACTCTGATTATCTCTACAATATCACAACGCTCATAATTTTCTCAACAGCCAAAGGAAACTTGAAAACCTACTCACTCACGCGGTGACAGTAACTGAAATTTAAGAATAAGGTTTTGATCTGAGACTGGATAAGAAACAAGACTTGAGCATTAATTCCAAGATCGAAGATGAACCGTAAGTTAATAAACAGGGCTCTTCTTGGAGACATAAGACTTCCCAATCTTATATCTTTTCCAGCAATCTGCTGCCTCTTACACACTCTTTTTTTATTTTTTTCAAACAGTAATCATTTGTAATATTTTAATGAGCTGTTTTCTACATGAATTTTAACCTACTAATTTGAATTGAAACTCTTGTTCTTACTTGAATTGAAAATAGTTAAAGTTTTTCTTTCATCCTGTGGTCCTGGACCTGACTACCCCTCTACACCTGACATGCTTCAAGAACTACCATACCCCTATTTATTTTTGGAAGCAGTTTAGACTGTCAAGTTAGAAGCGACCAAGCAGGGACCACACTAGAAACATTCACATGCCCCAGGATGTTCCTGCCAAGAGCTGGAACCTGTTTTTGAAATGGGAAAATCATTACCTTCAGAACATTGAGGGCTTGCCAGACCCTGGGCTCCCTGGCTGGGGTGTGAAGCTTTGTCCCTATATAGCCAACTGCTGGCCGTAAAGACTAGAATCCAGCAGAGGTGTCTTGATAAGCCCTGCCTTCAGCTCCTCCACACCCATCATAGGAACCTGATTGAAGTCTATCTTCTATCTCTCCTTCTTTGTTAGCTTAATGAGCACAGACACATAGCACAGAGCAGTGGGCTCTTAAGCACAATCCTGACAATATGGAAATCAGTTGGTACATTTACTGGTTAATATTCTGACTCTATCGGCAGACTCACTTCAATAACAAAGCCCAAGAAAGTAAAACATTCACATTCTGAGAGTTCTCATTTCCCCTCAACCCTACCTAGCTCTGGGAGGAATCATGCTGACAACTTTATTATACAGAAAGGCTAGCTCCTAAGTGACCATGACATGTATGGGAAGCCAAGGAAACTGTGAAAGTTTGTGGAATACAAGCAAGAGAATAAAGGGGGCGCTTGGCAGTGGGTAAAGGCCTAGGAGTTGGGAAGAGGGGCTGGGCACAATGGCATAACCTTCACAATCATGTCATCCACCTGGGCGTTGGAAATTACTTTCCTTGGGTCAGGTGCGATGGCTCAATGTCTAAATTCTCACCTTGCATGTACCAGGATCCCATATGGGCACCAGTTCATGTCCCAGCTGCTCCCTTCCCATCCAGCTTCCTGCTTATGGCCTGAGAAAGCAGTAGAGGACAGCCCAAAGACTTGAGACCCTGCACCCATGTGGGAGACTCCAAAGAATCTCCTGGCTCCTGTTTTCAGATCAGCTCAGCTCGCCATTGGCTGCCATCTAGGGAGTGAACCAGTAGATGGATCTTTCTGTGTCTCACTCTCTCTGTAAATCTGTCTTTCCAATAAAAATAAATAAATCGTTAAGAAAAAAAAAAGTACTTTCCTTTCTCCCTTTAGGCTCCTGCAGAGACTGTCAGTGCATCTTATGTCTTCTTTAGTGAGGATGCACACAGTTCATAGATGCACAGGCATACACCTATCTGTCTAACTGGATTGCCACGTTAGCACAGGTCCCAGAATGAAGTAAGGCCACTTAGACTCAGGGCCCTCTGGGAGCTGGTGCTCTTGGGATGACACAGGAACCAGAGGATAGAGACCAGTTTCACCTTTAGGGTTTGCCCTGATCAGATCTTTCTAAGAGCTAGGAAAGTTGCTACCTGCCCCTCCCTCTCTCCACTTCTCAGTTCACCTTTATGTTATTCCAGCAAGTCTTCACAGGGCAAGTGTCATGGTGCACTGGGTTAAGTTGCTGCTTGGGATGCGTGCATCTTACGTCAGAGTGCCTGGGTTCAACTCACAGCTGCTTAGCTTCTAATCTAGCTCCCTACTAACTTATCTGGAGAAACAGTGAATGGCGGCTCTGGTACTTGAGCTCCTGTCACCCATATGGGAAATTCAGATGGAATTTCTAGCTTGGCCTTCAGCCTAACTCAGCCCTGGCTGCTGCATGCTCCATTTATGGCATGAACTGACAGTTGGAAGATTTTGCTTCTCTCTTTGTTACCCTGCCTTTCAAATAAACAAATCTTTTTCTTTTTTTTAAAGGAAGCCTTCACACAGCTGTCATTTCCTGAGTGTCACACTGCTGGGTTCTGGGGATTGAAGCACACAAACTCAGCCCCAAGGAGACACCATCACTGCTCTCCAAAGGCAACAGAAGTTGCAACATTCTTGAAGATGCCAAGGGAAAGTCTAGACAGGAAAACCATTCAATATTGTTGCCTTGAACTCCAGTGGTAGGTACAACAAAGCCCACTGGTGTCCTTGTACTGACAGGAGGAAGGGCACAGTGGTGATTAGCACCTGACAGGTGGAAGGGCTGAGCAGCACACACGGTGTAGATAATGTGAGAAATCATCAGCACCAAGTTCCCAGGGTGACAAGGCTGTGAAAAACTGCTTTGTTCTGCGGTCTCTCTCTCTCTCTCTCTCTCTCTCTCTCTCACACACACACACACACACACACACACATTCTTCTCTCCCTCTCTCTATAAAGAGAACCCCATACAAACTGGCTCTTATTCTATAGGGACTAAAAACCACTCCCCTTCTTATCAGGAAACCTTGTTTCTGCTGGTCTGGCAATGAGGTTGCCTGGCTGCAGGAGGCCAAGGGCGGAAGGCGGGGTTAAAGCTGTTTATCAGTTTGTTCTGGGCAAGGAGGTGGAACCGTCACCCATCACCCATCACCCACAGCACTAACCAGAGGAAACTGCCTGTTCCCAGCTGTAGTGGGACTTCCTGCCAGAGCACCTGCCAGACGTTTCTTGACTGAAGTGGGCCTCCCTCTGGGTCTTTGCAGACAGAGGTGGGGAGTGGGGCAGGTCTACGAATGACTAATCCCCAGCCTCCCAGGCCAAATCTGAACTATGGGCTGACTGGATAGGAGGCTACAGATAAAAGAACACCAGGCGTTGAGCCAGAAATTTCTGTAGCTAAATCCTGGTCCAGCTGGTTGAAAGTGGATGGTCTCCTTCCCTGTAGGATGGGGAGAGGAAAGCAAGGCCACTGACCCTGAAGGTCACTCACATAACTTTCTCTCCACTTGTTTAAGTTTCAAATTTCCCCCTTCCTTCTCAGTTCCCAGGATCCTATCCTTCTGTTTGCACCACCAGCCAAACCTGAAATTCTGTTTCTTTTATTTTGAACAGTAATTTGTTTTTCTTTTTCTTTTCTTTTCTTTCTTTCTTTCTTTCTTTCTTTCTTTCTTTCTTTCTTTCTTTCTTTCTTTCTTTCTTTCTTTCTTTCTTTCTTTCTTTCTTTCTTTTCTTTTCTTTTCTTTTCTTTTCTTTTTCTTTTCTTTCTTAACTGGCCATTCATTTACTTGTTCCTAACAGCAAATTGTCTGAGGGCAATTCTGGCTCCAACCTTAAAGCAGGTGCCTTTCCCCCTCAGTATACCAATTATTCAAGCTTCATTTTCCTTGTCAGAGAACTTAGGATGAGAGAGAGTGACAGAGAGAGAGAGAAAGAGAGAGAGCGCGAGAAAGAGAACGTGTTTGTGTCTAGCTGGTCTACCATCTTCGACATGGGCTCTGCAGGTCAGGGAACTGTTCTTGTCACAGGCCAGAACTTCACACTCCAAAGTAATACCCATCTCCCTTCATCAAGTGCCACACAGAGCTTCTACCAACTTTTTTGTGAAGCCTCCGTAACCAAGGTGCCATTGGCCAAAACATGTCCATTACATACACTGCCGAACATGAAGGTGGGAAAAGGCATTTAAAAGCAAGTTACAAACACCAATCAATGGTCAAAATTGCCCCATGTCCTTTCTTCACAGCAGTAGATATCCTTTGATGCACAGGAATGAGTTACGATTCACTCAAAGTAGAGTAAGGTTGTCTATGTGACCCAATGAAATGAAAGGGGGAACTTCACTGGATGTGGCTTCCAGGAAAACTTTTACTTTCTAGGTAGAAAAGGACAAGTTACAAGGCAGATACTCCTTAATCTCTTTGCCATTTCTTCTTTCTTGAAACACTGATATGATGCCTGGAAGTGCAGTAGTCATGAGGCATAAGATGAAAGCCACACAGGCAAGTATGTTACAGTCTAGTTTAGCTTCAAGAAAATGAGAGCCTGCGATACTAATGGCTAACAAACCTTGGTCTGGCCAGCTATGTGAAACAGAGGAGCCCACATCTGCTTATGTTGAGTTTTCTGTTATATAGTGAATGCCGGAAAGGGGTTCTCAGCAGTGTGCTGTTCTTGTTCTCAAGAAGTAGCCAACATCTCACTTATATACATCTTGTAGTCACTCCTGATTGCACTTCTACCACATAGACAAATATCACCTGCTTTCTCATCAGACTATCACCCAAAATCCTGCCCACAGCTCACTGCCACTGCTGTCATCTTTCACTCACAAAGCTGCAATAGTCTCTTAGTCTAGCCATTTGGGTTCACCTGTCAATCTGTTCTCAACACAGAAGCCAGAATGATTTCATTAAAATCTAAGACAGATGGCATGCCTTTACTCATAGAAACTGTCCAGTGTTGTCCATGTTACTCAAATTAACATTTTTTTAAAAAATGGATTTATTTATTCACTCAAAAGCCAAGAGAGAGTCTAAGAGAGGAAGAGAGATCTTCCACCTGTTGGTCTCCTCCCCAAATGGCTGTGCAGTTGGAGCTGGGCTGCTCTGAAGTCAGGAGCCAGGAGCTTCCTTCGGGTCTCCCAGGTAGATGTGGGGGGTCTAAGCACTTGGGTCATCCTTTGCCTTTACTACAGGCATATTATCACAAAGGTATATGGGAAGCAAAGCAGCTGGTATTGAACCAGTGCCCAGATGGAATACTGGCACTGCAGGCAGCCTTGCCCACTATGCAGCAGCACCAGCCTCTAAAAGTTCAGGTACTTAAAATGACCTGTAGAAAAACTGCATAATTTGGCCAAATTCTAGTTTTCTTTAGGGGGAGGGACATGTTATTCTGACTTCAGGTTTGTTATTGTGTCCTTCTGTTACATCTGTTAAGACCATGGATCTTTAATTTTTAAATATGGTATATTCTAGCTCTTTTCCATTTTTTCCCTTTTCACAATTCCAAGCTTTCCTCATTATACTCATGCTTTCTAAGAAATTTTTGGGCACATTTATATAATAGTCACTTTAGCACACATATGATCATTTCTGTCATTTCTCAGCTGTGAGTTTTCATTTCTTGGGTTTTTTGCACATCTAGTAGCTTTTCATTGGACGCTAAACATTGTACACAACAGGGTGTTGACTATTCAGGAGAACCCTATTCAGGCCTCTGAAGCCCTGTTTCTGTGTCTCTCCCTAGTTTCTGCTACCCTGTATCAACCCCCACATGTCTCAGCCTCTTCAAACTCCAGTCTTGGTCTCCTCAGTCCAGGGGGAATGTTCAGGCTCTTCAGTGAATGCTCTCCCTGTTGGGTTACAACCTGGAGACAGTGCCATGATAGAAAAGTATACAGCAGCAGCCGGACTCAATTCATCCGTTTTCCTTCTCTTAGGATCGGAGTCAAGCGTTGCATGTTGCCTGGTGTCTAAAAACAATACATTTGTGCATTTCATCTAGCTTTCCTGGTTCATGGACTGAGGATCACTCAGTTGTGACTAGAGTTGTAGTGGCCATAGACATTTGCTAAATCTTTGGAGGATTTCCACCTCCAAGCTAGATACCAGGGTACAAAGATGAGCTAGAATACATGGGACACATGGTAGGGCAGTGGCAGTTCTGAGAAGGGAAGTGATATGTCCAGGCAAGGCTTTTGTGAGGGCACAGTTGGGTGTCCAGGCGTTTGGTGCCCCAAGATGCTCTTTCCTATCTGAGCCACATCATCCTTTCTTCAGTTTAGCTGCACTGAGCATTCCCTGGCCCTCAGCTACCCTCTCCTCCAGCTCTCCTGCCCTCCAGCTCTCAGAATTTTGATATTTTCAGCCAAAGACTCTCTTAGGCTTTCCTATATCCCCATGGAGTCTAGCCTGGAAGTATCCTTCAGGCCTGTGGGTAGTGGGCCACGAAAAACACTGAGATCCCCAAGTTCCAGCACAAGCCAATAGGACAAGCTTCTGATTCTCTCCCCCTACCCTTTGCCCTCTGCTTCAGATTAGCCTCCAAAGTCCTATCACTGACATATGAAATATGAGACCATGTCCGTGAAAGTAGGCTGTGAACAGTGGCACTTAAGCCAATAGGATCAACATAGCATACAATAGATACATAGCAACAAGCATCCACCTCTGTGTGTTTTAGACTGAGGGGTGTACAAAACAGGTTCTCCTTAAAGAGGCACATGATCCAGGGGCCCACTGCTCCAGGTAGATGCTATGGAGGTATAAGTAGCAGACAGCCTCCTGCTGCCATATTTGGCGGGTATACTGAGCTGCAGATGTCTACTTCACCCAAGGTCATGGGCAATCCAGATCTGAAGAGGGAACCATGTGGGTGCTCAGAGATCCAGGCACTGAGTCTGAAGTGAGACATTAATCTGAAGCTTCTGTCCAGGTATGATACAGTTGTATCAAGGCTTCCTCCTTTCCATCTGCAAACATTCCTGATGAACGATCTATACTCACATCAATTTTACATCTGTATCTGCAGAACTCAGCCTGGCCCGTGGAACCACTGCTGGGCTTTGGCAGCCACAGGTCAGTCCAAGTTCCTCTTAGCCAGAGCAATGTCAAGTGGTGGCTAATGACTTCATGCAAGACCAACTCAGTACCACAGGTTGCAAACTCTTACAGTTCTGTGCCTTTCTTCATTATCATTGTGGCTGGTAATTGAAACAACATCTAGAAATCACTAAAGAACATGGCTAGGTAATATCTGAGTCTATTTGCAGAGCCAGCGTTTCATGTACATTATAAGATTTAATTCCCATCTTCCCCATTCCTATGGGGAGGCACCTTCACCATCCTTTTTATAAAGTACTTCCCTAATCCCTGTTTGATGAAGACTGGAGGTCAGACACAGGGACAGGCAAACTGTCCCCTCCGGTCCCTTCTGCCTTCCATGGCACGAGTCTCTGTGGGCAGCTTCATGTTCACTGTTGCCTCTTGCTCACATCCCCTTTGGCTCCTTCCTCCCCCAGCTCTCAGTTTTGCAGACTTGGTGGCCACTGCTCAGGCCTCAGGAGCAACACAGAGGTACTTTGTGTGTCCAACCCCCACTCTCAAAAATAGGAAGAAGAGAAGCTTTCAGCCCACATCCTGCATTTGAGCAAAGTTCCCACCAGTGGTTCAACCCAAGCAGAGGTTTATGCAACATCTTTCAGCTCACACCTAACCTAGCAACCACCAAATCTGGATTCCCAAAAGGTCACTTGTTCATTCATCAATAAAAGATGAGATGTCAGTGATGAGCCCAATGTGTACAGGGGCCAGCTAGAAGCACATAGATGGGTAATTCATGTATTTATTCTTAGCTGTGTTCATTTATCAATCACTTACTGACCTCTTAACTTTTAAGAAATATTTTTAACTTTTTATTTGAAAGGTACATCTTATAGTGAGAAGGAAAGTCAGAGAGAGTCTTCTATCTGTTGGATCACTCCCCAAATGGCTGCAATGGCTGGAGCTGAGCCAATCCATAGCCAGGAAACAGGAGCTTTTTCCAGATCTCGAATGCAGGTGTAGGGGCCCAGAGGCTTGAGTATCCTCTGTCACCTTCCCAGACCATAAGCAGGGTGTCATGTCAGAAGTGGAGAAGCCAGGACGACACGAACCAGTGCCTGAATGGGATGACTATGCTTGCAGGTAGGGGATTAGCTTGCTATGCCATAGCATCAGTCCATGAGCTCCTGTTTTTGTCTGAAGCCTAAGTCCTGAAAACATGGTGGTGAAAAATTCAAGTAAAATTGAGGCTCACTAAAAATCATTAGTCTACTGAAATGCTAATATGGAATCCTCATCATTTAAGACCCTAAAATATTGGTTAATGCTTGCCAGGTAACCGGCACCATTTGGACAGTAAATGACTCAACAAAAACATGTGTTCTCTTGAATCATTCATGCAAAGTGCCTGCTCCCACTTACTGCTGTTTCTCTTCGGTTGTACAACTGAGGTGATCAACAGCCAATCAGGGTCCTGTGCCATTGTTAACCACTGAAATTGCAACGGTCAGTTTGCGGTGATGGTTTTGGTTTCTATTTTCTTTCATTTCTTTCTGTGCATTCAAACTTCTTGGACTCTGTTTTGGAGCATCTGTTCCAGAATGTTTGTTTCTAAGTGAGCATCTTTACTCCAGTATAAAAGAATTTCTTTATTCTCACATGCAGTGTGCCCTAACTGGCTTTCTAGGTTGACAATGGGGAGCAGAAACAGTTTATCTCATGTTCTCAAATACTGATTAGTTTATTGGTTTATTTGAAAAGCAGAATCAATCTCTCCCTCTCTCTCTCTCTCTCTCTCTCCCTTCTCCCCCTTCCCCAACAGAGGGGTCCCTGATCCACTGGGTCATTGCTCCTATGTCTACAACAGCCAGATCTGGGTTAGGCTAAAGCCAGGAGCCAGAAACTCCATCCTGCTCTTCACATGGATGACAGGTGCTCGAGTACTTGGGTCATCCTCTGCTGCTTTCCTGGGCATGAGCAGGGAGCTGGGTTGGAAGCGGATCAGTGAGGATTGGCCTCTTGGATGACTTGCAAATAACAGCGTAAATTGGCTGTACCACAACACAAACCCCTTCGAGTCCATTGTCAAACACTGGAACAGTCTACACACACTGTCTGGAAGGATGCACAGAGACTTGAAGCTCATGTTTGCTTGTCATTTCTCATTCACAAAGGGCTTTCACCCCAATGGGTACTCTGGATCCTTTGGAAGTTGGTGCTCTTCACTGGCCTCTCTGGGGGATGCCCAGGCCCAACGTTCTCAGCAGGGAGGAAGCACGCCTCTCGGCACCTGCTCTGTGGACACTGGGCCACTTCAATTCTCCTTGCAGTGGCCTGCCTTGGAGATGAGCCTCTCTTAGCAAGTCTCTCTCATGCTGAAATAGGTTAAAACAGGGCTCTCCATCAACCTTGGGGCACGCTAATCATAGCCTCTTCCTCTTAGGTACGCCAAGTCTAGGCCTGAACCAGGCCACAGAAGAAAACAAGGCAAGAAGGCGCCACGCCTCAGGAATGCAAGCCTGAGGGACAAAGAAGAAATACTTTGCCATATATGGAACGGAGCATTTCTTCCTCTTTTCCTTCTCATCCTCCTTTTGAATTTTCTCCTTTGATCTTCCCCAACATTGTATGTCTACTTCCTCTTTCGTAGCCCGTACCCGCCTCCAACTTAAGCAAGACCAAGACAGCATCCCTCTTTCTCTTCACAGCGTCGCAGCTCTTCTGAGACAAGCCCTGGACCAGAGAGGACATGGGAAGATGATAGGGCAGCGACGGCTACAAACCACCGCCAGAGGGCGCCACGGCGCACCCCATCCTACCATGTGGTCCTTGGATGTTCTCCGTCGTGGGATGGTTCAGAAGTCCTGCAGGCTCCAGCCCTGGTCTTGCTTCTGAGAGGGTCCCAGAGCCTCTGTCTTCGCACTAATAAAAGTCCCATCTCCCCTGTACGTCCTTTGCGCAGAACAAGTTCTGGGGCTCCTCCAGCAAATCCCTAAAGCATACTACTGAAATCATCTCGGGTTAGTAAACACAGCTTCTCCCACCTGTGAGGAGAAGGGCTATCGGAAATTAGTACTTCCCTGGAGTTTGGAAATAGGTGAGGCCCTTTAAGATCTGCTCAATCATTCTTGCTCCTCATTCTGCCTCCTTGGTTTCACCCTGGGACTTTTTTTCACCTGGGTGTGGCTGCAGAGGCTGTTTCTGTCTCTTCTTCCTGCTGATGCTCCACTTCCCATCCAGCTCCCTGCTTGTGGCCTGGGAAAGCAGTCGAGGATGGCCCAAAGCCTTGGGACCCTGCACCTGCATGGGAGACTTAGAAGAAGCTCCTGGCTTTATATTGGCTCAATTGCAGCCATTGCTGGGGAGTGAAACAGTGGATGGAAGCTCTTTCTGTCTCTCCTCCTCTGTGTTTATCTACCTTTACAATAGAAGGTAAATAAATCTTTTTTTAAAATTGGAAAAATTACCTTTATCTGGATAAAGGATTCTTGCATATAATTCAGACAGAATTCCTAAATATCTAGCTTGGAAAAAAAGTACAATCTGAAGGGGAAAGGCTGAGATCTCTGAGAAGAAGAAAACTAAGAGTCCCTCTTGGCAGAAATCGAAACAGCAAGGCCAGTTAGCATAAAAGATAGAAAATGCTGGTAGATTATATACATTAAGAAAAGTAAGAGCCATGCTCTTGCTACCTTCCACGGTTTCAGGAAGATATACAAAACACTTTTCCAAAAGGAGAATAGAAATACTCAATGCTTTTTATGCAAACTCGTATTACAAAGTTAGCAGTGATTGGGAACTTTGAAGAACAAGTGAAATATCAGCAGCAGAGCAGCCTTTCCAAGGGACATACAGATTCTATACTACTCTGAAGGCCTGAAAGGATTCTTTGCAAGAAGTGGTGAGTTGATATGGGGGGGAGGGGAAAGGTATTTGTGTGTTTAGAGAGAGAGAGATTAGAAATGATATATACCAGACTGTTTGAAGTTGTTTCTCTCTGTTTTCACTTTCTGCAATGTACACTTACCATATATTTTTTAAGTTTTTGGAAAAACGGAACAATTTATTTATATATTTGTCTCCCCCAATAGAAGCATAAGTGACCACAAGTCTGCAATCAAATCATAACTGGTTCGTAGTGGTTTATTGTGTATGTCATGTTTATATCATGGCAGACAAAGAGTAAATATTCCATCAATCATGCCTTTCTGTTCTAAACTTTAGTGGTGGATTTCCTGTGTTGAGTATTTATAGCCTTGTTCATTGGCTAAACAAAATGAACAATTTAAAAGTTCTCTAGCTGTCCCAGCTGTAGACAACTGCCTAGGTTACCTTGTATCTAGGCACGCGTTACACTGTGCAGAGAGAAGCAGTCAGTATCTGGCAGGCACCCCGGGCCTGGTTAAGGACAAATTTGTGTTAACCATACCAGTGTACCATTATGCCTGCCTAGTTACTTATTAGTTTTTAGAGATACTGTGGTTAAGTCAGGGAATACTGGGACACACCACCTTTGCCTCCAGGCTGGGGAGGAGGCAGAATGCCCGGGGAAGAGAGTCCAGGGAAATATTGGAGTGGGAGAGGCTGAGGATAGGGTAAAAATTACTTTTGGGGGCTTCCATGGTTATTGCACTCAAAGGTAGGAGACAGAGCTGAGATATAGTGGTCTAAAGGGGAGAACTGGAGTGTCTTTGGTGTGATCAAGACACCCACCCAAGCAGGAGACCTGAGCTAGGCTAAATAGGATCACCTACCACCCAATGGTGTGTTTAAAAGCTGGCACTGGGGAGTATGTCTTGCTGGTCTAGGCTGTAGTACCCAACTGCAAGTGTCAAGGCAGAGGGCAGACCACATCAGGCCAGGCCACAGCACCCACCAGAACACGAGAGAAACAGATGTGGAGGCAGATTCCGTGAGGGACATGTGGATTTGTTTCTGTGGGACTGCAGCACCTGCCAGTTTATGCAGAGCCGGAGGTGGTGACAGGCCAAGCTGATCTGGACCACTGAACTGACATGACAGGAACTGGTTGACACCCAGTTAAAAGATATGATAAAGATGCCAAGAGACTGATTTAGTACAAATGCCAGTTTCAAGTTTTATTAATCAAAAGATATTAATTGAGCTTCTAAGAGACACCAAAAATGAACCGACACTTTTGGACAATTGGATTTGTGTCAACTCTATGAGAGCCAAGACTGGGAGGAGGCCAGGTGGAGCCAGGCTGTAGCTCCTGCCAACACATACAAAGGTTGAGAATGAGGGCAGATCGTGACAAACAGGGCTGTGGAGAGAGTAAGAACTGGAGCTGGCAGCAAGCCAGGCCAGGCAGGGCTGCAGCACCCATCAGCACTTGTGTGGGACCTGTGTGGGAGCAGGCTAGCCTGGGCCAGGCTTCAGCACCTGCTGCCCACATGTTTTAGCCAGAACAGTTTATGGGCTATGCCCAGCTTTGCTAGGTTGCAGCACCTACCTGCGAGAGCTGAGACAGATTAAAAAGGAAAAGGAAAATGAAAAAAAGTAACAGAGACAAAAACATTTTTTTTTCTAGTTACAGATTTATTGGATTTTGAGTGCTGCCTGCTACCTTGGAGGCCCTTATAAAACCATGAATGTTCACTACCCCTGCTACAAACTTTGCTATATTTATATATTAGCCTCCTTAATTAAAGGGGCAATTGAAGGTACCATTCATAAATCTTTAACCAATTCATTACAAAGTGTAAGTTGCCCATAAATGTTTGCTAGACCTGTTGAATGCAGAATGATTGAAATCTATACTCCTTCTCTTGGCTGTAAGGCCTCCACCTCCATACTTCCCTTTTGCAATGAATCTTTGAGTTTAGAACATATTGATGTCACTTGTGGCTGGAAAACAGCATGAGCCTAGTATGGAATGTTTCCAAAATAGGTCTAAAATCAAAAAGGGCAAGGGAGCAGAAGACCTTGCCAGGAGAGAAGCCACAACTTGACCCAGGAAAGGCACCTGTTCAAGAAGAAAGTATGAGCAGTGGGTGTTATGCTATGGGTTAAGCTGCTATTCAGGACTCCCACTTAGTTCACTTCTGATTCAGCTTGCTGCATATGTACATGCCAGACAGCAAATGATGGCTGAAGAACTTGGGTCCCTGATACACATGTAGGAGATCTGAATGGTGGCGTTAATGGCTCCCAACTTCAACCTAGCACAGCCCTGACAGTTGCAGGCACTTGCAGAATAAAACAATAGATGGAAGATCAATTCTCTCTCTCCCCCACTCTCTAATTTACTCAGTCAACCTCTCTCCCCCAGCTTTCAAATAAATAAATCCTTAAGGAAAAAGAGTTTTCAAAAATCTAACAAGACCTTCTTAATAAAAGTCAAAATCTAAGTTTTTTTCTATTAGTCTTGGAGACAAAGTTCATCGTGTTTTAGAGTTACAATGAAAGAAGTAAAAAAAAAAAAAGTACACCTCTCTATGCATTGTGAAAATTAAATGTAGTGTAGGAAGATGTAGTATTCCTGACTGTCTTTAGTGGCTGTCAGTGGGCCTGGTTCTCTGATTCCAACTCCAGATCTATCCTGCCAAGGGTCACCAACAGATGCGTGACTCATCACACGGGTGCCCCTCGGTGCAACAGTGCAACTCCTGGGCTCACCCTGGATAGTTGGACAGGGAGTGCTCTGCATGAGGCAGAACAGCCTCAGGCCAAACTAACAAAGAACAACACACTGATCAGGTCCTAACTAGAGGTGGGACATTGCACCTGTAAGCAAACGCTTCCAGGCTACAGCTTTTCTCCTTTCAAAAATGAGGGAATTAAAATAGTTCTTGATTTCTAGATACTTTACTGTTGCTCACTCCTCAGGACTGATGCTTCTGGTGAAGACAGACAGAAGCCCAAAGGACCAAGCATAAGGATATTGAGATACGCCAGCTCAGACTGATGCTGGCATGGAGGCACCTCTTCCTGCAAGGCTATCCTCTCTACAGACTGGTGCAAAAGTTCCTCAACTGCAATCAGAGCAGTGGCATATCAGGCTAACCCTCTGCCTGTGCTGCTGGCATCCTGTATGGATGACAGTCCTAATCTGGCTGTTCCACTTCTGATCCAGCTCCTTGCTAATGGCCTGAGAAAGCAGCAGAGGATGGCTCAAAACAAACCCACCGATGCTCCATCTAAACCTTTTCTTAAATAAATGAGCAAACAAAAAGTGCTTTGTTAAATTTAATTAATTTGCAAGGAGGATTGATATGGTGCATGCATAAAAAGCTTTGTAGCAACACTTAGTGCACTTTGCAGTCTTACTAAAGCAACAAGGATGAAACCAGGGCTTTCCATGCACTTTGTTTGGCACTGTCTCAGGAGGCTGTGCCAGGTAATTTTTGCACTGATCCAAGTCTCACAGGCTTCAGGAGTCCTTGTAGAGGGCTGTTGTAGCACAGTAAGAAAATACTACAGATTGGGTAGATGAAATCAGTCAACTTCTCATTACTTCCACAAATTGCCCGATGCAAAGGCTGTTATGAAGGAAAGAGAAGTCAATTTTTCTGGGGCTTTGGAAGTGAAAGTCCAAATGCTACAGTTCAGGATCTGATGAAAGCCTTGTGGCATCTGGTGAAACTTACTCGGAGGAAGGGTCAGAGGACAAACCAGGGGAGAAGACTGTGTGTGTCCTCACTCAGGTTTTTATAACAACCCTGCAGTGAGAACTATATTCTGCAGCCAAGCCTTTAATGACCTGAAGACTTCCCATGGTGTCCCATGTCCTGAAGATTCTACTGCCTCCCAGGAAGCAGCAACCCTGAAGCCAGGTCTTTCACCCTGCACCTTGGAGAACATTCAACATTCAAATGATAGCTGTGGCTTAGACAACAACTCTTCTCACCATTCCAGAGGCTGAGAAGTTTAAAATCCAGTTGCAGTCTGCTAATGGCCCTCTTCCTGGTTTATGGAAGTTTGTCTTCCTCTTTTTATTTTTTAGAAAGATTTATTTTATTTTTATTGGAAAGTCAAATATACAGAGAGAAGGAGAGACAGAGAGGAAGATCTTCCATCCAATGATTTACTCCCTATGCAGCCACAATGGTCAGAGCTGAGCCGATCCGAAGCCAGGATCCCGGAGACTCCTCTGGGTCTCCCACATGGGTGCAGGGTCCCAAAGCTTTGGACTGTCCTCTACTGCTTTCCCGGGCCACAAGCAGGGAACTGTGTGGGAGGCAGGACCACTGGGATTAAAACCGGCACCCATATGGGATCCTGGGACATGAGAAGACTTTAGCTGCTACACTACCTCACCAGGCCTGGAAGTCTGTCTTTTTACTGCATACTCTCATGGTAGAGAGAGAGAGATTGTCTCTTTTGCATCTCTGTCTTTGAGGGCACTAGTTCCATTCAAGAGGTCTATACTATCATGACCTAATTCTCTTCCTAAATCATTTTCTCCAAATAGCATCACACTGAAGAATCATCACATGATTTTAAGCTAATAAACATTCAGGGCACGGCAGCACAAATGAACTCTTGACTAGCCAAGCACCATGCCAACTGCTAACAAAACTGAGCCCCATTTCTTCTCTAGTACACAAATGAATTGTAATCATTGATTTGTTGAAAATAAACAACTAAGTTGATTTGGCTTACATCTTTTTTTTTTTTAAAAAAAGATTTATTTATTATTTTTATTACAAAGTAGGATATACAGAGAGGAGGAGAGACAGAGAGGAAGATTATCCATCCGATGATTCACTCCCCAAGTGAACGCAACAGCCGGTGCTATGCCGATCCGGAGCTAGGAGCCAGGAACTTTCTCCAGGTCTCCCACATGGGTGCAGGGTCCCAAGACTTTGAGCCGTGCTCGAATGCTTTCCCAGGCCACAAGCAGGGAGCTGGATGAGAAGTAGAGCTGCCGGGATTAGAACCGGTGCCCTTATGGGATCCTGGCACATTCAAGGCAAGGACTTTAGCTGCTAGGCCACCATACCGGGCCCTTACACCTTTTTTTTTTTTTGAAAGAGAGAGCACTCTCACCTGCTTGCTGGCTTCCTCCCTAAATGCCTGAAATAGCTGGTTCAGTATCAAGAGCTAGTGGCTTGCAAGGACAAGGATGATGTTCACTTCTGATTCAGCTCCCTGCTAACAGCTCAGGAAAGCAGCAGAGGATGGCTCAAGCCCTTGAGCCCCTGTCGCCATGTGGGTGACTTCAATGAAGTTCCAGGCTCTTGATTTTGAACCAACCCCACTCTAGTTGCCATTTGGGAAGTCAATCAGTATGACAAGGGAAAATGATTCATAAATATTAGCAATCACACTCATGTGAAAGAATGCCAATTGAAACAATCAGGTAACCTTTTCACCTGCCATGAGCGAGGCACAACTTCTTCCAAAGATAGATTTGTACTTTTCTGCTGTGGTTGAATGTGGTCTGTCCCCACAAAGGTTCTTGTAGCAGAAGTGTGGTCTCTTGTGTGGCCATCTTGAGGTAGTGCAACCCTTAAGAGATGGGGGGGTGAGTGAGTTATTCTGTCCTAGGTTGTTACAAGGGAACCTGGCACGCTCCTGAATTGTTTACTCACGTGCTGCTCACTATTCTTGCACCTGCTCCTTCACTGCGGTGCTATCCACCATGAGGCCCTTGCCAAATAGATGCCAGCACATACACATGGATCTCTGAACTGTCAGCTTTTTTTTCGTTGTTGTTAAATATGATACCTAGCCGCATGCATTTTTTTTGTAGCAACAGAAAACAAAGAAAGTCAAAATTTTTTAAAAAATCAAATACTGTTTTTGAAAGATTTATTTATTTGAAAACTAGAGTTACAGAGAGCAAAGGAGAGGGAAGAAAAGACAAGGGGGGAGAGAGCTAGAAAGACAGACCGGTGATAGAGGAGAGATATTGCTCTTGTGTCGGCTGGTTTACTCGCCAAATGGTCACAGTAGGCAGCCTGGATGAAGCTGCAGCCAAGAGCCAGGAACTCATCCTGGTCTCCCACATAAATGACAGGCACCCAAACATTCCAGCCAACTTTTGCTGCTTTCCCATGCACTTTAGTCATGCAGTAGCCAGGACACAAATTGTCACTTTCATGTGGGATCCTGGGCTGCAAGTTGTGGCTCAACTCACTGTTGAGCACTAAACAATATCAGCACCCAAACGTCAAATAATATTGGACACGTAAATTCTCCTTCTGTGGATTTTCTCCTATAGATAAATTCATATACATATAAAAAACAGATATTTTCAAGAATCTTTTGGTACCAAAAACAAGTAGAAATAATCTGAATGTTTATCAGAAGAAAATGGTTAAGTAGGTGATAATATGGCCATACAATGGAATTTAATGAAGCCAACAAAAAGAATGAGAAAATCAGGCAATGATTTGGAATGATATCCGTGTTAAGTAGAGGAAAAGGACAGAAAATGAATTTATTTTATTTCTATTTATGCATGAGATTGCATTTCTTCATGGAAAAGTAAGTGGTTGATGCACTGAACTCATGACTAGAAGGCTGTGGTCATCAAAGGAGCTTTTTTAAACAAAGATTTGTGGGCCCAGAGCCGTGGTCTAGCAGCTAAAGTCCTCACCTTGAACCCACTGGGATCCCATATGGCAGACGGTTCTAATCCCAGCAGCTCCACTTCCCATCCAGCTCCCTGCTTGTGGCCTGGGAAAGCAGTTGAGGACGGCTCAAAGTCTTGGGACCCTGCACCCATGTGTGGGATACCCGAAAGAAGTTCCTGGATCCTGGCTTCGGATCGGCACAGCATCGGCCATTGCGCTCACTTGGGGAATGAATCTTCGGATGGAAGATCTTCCTCTCTGTTTCCCCTCCTCTCTGTATAACTGACTTTGTAATGAAAGTAAAATAAATCTTTTTTTAAAAATCCAAAGTTTTTTTTTTTTTTCATTTAAAGGACAGTGTTACAGAGAGAGAGATAGCATCCACTGGTTGGTCACTGCCCAAAGGGCTGCTCCCGGCTTCAGGCCAGCTCAGGTTCCTGAAGCCAGGAGCCAGGAGCTTCTTTCAAGTCACTTATGTGAGTGCAGTGCCCCAAAATCTTGAACCATCATCTGCAGCTTTCCCAAGAGTATTAGCATGGAGCTGAATAGAAGGGAAGCAGCCAGGGCTTTAAATGGTGCCCATATGAAATACCAGCCCCACAAGCAGAGGCTTAGCTTACTATGCCATGGTGCCAGCCCCAGGAACTTCATTTTTGACTTTCACAAGCCATTTACATCTGCCAGTTGACAAAGATTCTTCTGTTCTGTCCCTGATGTGCTGTAGGTAAGGAAGTCATATAGTCACTGTAAACTGCAAACCCAACTTCATGTTACAAGGCAGGCTCATATTGTCATCATGACTCCAAGTGTGATACAGTGTGGAGTCTGGTCCCCTTCCCCAGCCAGGCCTGCTGTGCACTGCCACTTGTACTCATCTTCATTTTCCCTCCCCGCAGATGTTCACCCTTAGCCTTCCATTTTGTTAGCATGGTTTCTGAACTAGCTTTGGGCAAGAGGAGAGAGAAGTGGCAAAAAAAGGAAATGATTTTTACTTAACTGCGGTGAGTTTAAGAGGGCTTCTTGCCACCGGAGCCTGGCAAATGCTCCAGGCTGCTTCTGTTCTCTCCTGAAGGTGTCTGTGGGTTCTTCAGACCCACCCTCATCTGCATGTACCCTGAAAGCAACACCTTCAGCCACTTCTCCCATCAACCCCTGTGTTCCTGGTTCAGTGCTCTAAGCAGCAATCTTTCTCTGCTGACGGCACATTGTCCTTCCTTGGGCAGAATTTAAAAGGAGTCCAGGCTATTTTTCCTCCCTGTGTAGCTTGGAGCTGATGCATAGGAAGCTGCATGCCAGAAGCTCAAGGCTTGAAAAAAGTTCACGGAGCTAGCTAAACAGGGCTTCTCAGTGGCTGTGTCCACAGAAATGCTTTTCTGCTGGGTGTGATTGCCCAAGTGTGCACTTCATTGCCTGGAAGTTTCGTAAGATGTAGTTGCAGGGAAGTCCCTAAGACTGCCTGGATTTGTGCTTGTTTCCTTCCAGTTAAAGCAGGCTTTTGAAGCCTCAGGGAATAAGAGGGTCAGAGCATCCACATCCCAGAAGAAGCTGTTGGGAGATACGGGAGCAAGCACTATGGACAAGAGAGCTCTCTGGGCAGGTGAGTGATGCTGAGGGAGGGAGTCCTGATAATTCAGCAGGGCAGTTCATGAGGAGAGAAGGGAGAGTACAGACTGTGGAAAAGTGATCTTGCTGCTTTCTTGAGATTGCAATCTGTTCACTTTAGTACGTTAAAAAACATCAAGTAAGGCAGCTGTCACGGGGGTGCCATGCACAGGCAAGGGAGCAGCAGTGGCCAAAGTCCTCTGCACTCTCAGGAAACTTTCTACACGGAGGTGTCCTTGCCTGCATTAGGACTGGAGCTCAAAACACAGGGAGAGTAACGCTTTCCCAGTGTTTTAATGTGTGAGTCTTGTGTTGGGAGTCACACCCTTCACGGGCTGCGCTTTGAGTATATTCTAAAACGTTTAGGCCCCCAACCCCAACTATTTCTCACTTGCAGGATAACTGCATTCAAAGCTTTCTAAGCATTTCTATGTAATCCTCCCCCCGCCCAACTCCAGAATTCAGAGACAAAACTTTGATATTCATAGTGATGAGAATTTGCCAGAAGATGGAGATGAGACTAAATAAATAAACAAGGTGTGTTGACCAGGAAGAGAGGAATATGTCTGATAGAGAAAGGAGACAACAGTGCCAGCTGTACATCTTTCTCTTTGTTAACACTCTCAAGCCATGAGCAATACCCTTAGCTAGAGCCTGATGGAAGCTCTTCGCCATGGGACCTCAGGAAAGAAGCCAGTAGGGAGGCAATGCTTAGGAGGAAATCCTGGAGGAGGGAGTCCTGACAAGCAGAAGTACTAACTAGAATCTTTCTGCCCACTCAAGGAGGGCATGGAAAATCAGTTTCCTGCCTACCCTGTCCCTTGCCTGGCAGGAATGTGGACCAGCAGGAGAGAACCTGAGCTCTGCAAGGGACACACCCAGCTCCAGCAGCTGTGAGCCTGATCTTATTTCCTTTATAACTTCCCTTTTTCTATTTTCAGACCCCAACACTGCACGATGTTCTTAGGCTGGTGGAAACATAGTTTAAAAGAGTCTTGCTCATTAGGAAGAATTTCTAAGACTCAAGGTTCTACATTTACTTTCCACTTTGGATGATGAATTAAGGAGAGAGCAATTTCATGGTCATTCTTACTCCCAAGCAAAGCTTGCCATGGAGAAGAGGCTGGGTATGACATCAAAGACAGGCTTAAAGCACCACCAGAGCCAACTCAAACTTCTCCATTCACCCTGCCTTGTTCTAAGAGTTGCTTATTATACATAGGGAAACCATTCATTTCCATCTTCCCACAACAGTTATGTCCCAAGTTATTGCCCTAGATAAATTATTAATAATTGTTTTTGCTCATCAAATGATTCCACTGGAGCATAAAGTCTACGATCACCCTCCCTATAAGGATATTTCATTTCAGACAAGCTCCTGGAGAGCAGGGAAGGCAGAGATGTGATTTTAGCTTCTCTACTACTCTAGATAATGCTTGCCACAGAGGAGGTGACTTAGTAGAACTTTGGTGGATAAATGAATAACCAGTTTGAAAACTGTCTCAGCCTTGGGGCAACCAAGGTCAGTAGAGCCACAGCAGCTGTGGCTAGAGAGCTCAGAGGAAGCAAGGCTGTTTCTTGTTTGTAGTCACGCACACAGACACCTCGTTATTGTCTGGGAGGGATGATCCAGATTGGGATCAACAAGCTTTCTCTTTCTGCCCATCCATTACAGGTTTGGTGGCCTCACTGCTTCTCCAGGGAGGTAAGCAGGCCATGAGTCACCACTGCCTGAATCTCCTGTCTCTGCTACATGCATTGCTCCCTCCAGTTCCGACACTAACATATCTATGACTCTGACTGTCCCTTTGTGTACCCATCGTGCTGGCTATCTTGGGTGAGAAACTTGTAGTTTTCTGAACTCCAAGGCAACAACATTTGTGCTTTTTTGGCTTTCTCCATTCTACTTCAGCATCTGCCTACAAACTGGTTTGCTACTTTACCAGTTGGTCCCAGTACCGGCAGGAACCAGGAAAATTCACTGCTGAGAGCATTGACCCCTTCCTGTGCTCTCACCTCATCTATGCGTTCGCAAACATCAGTAACAACAAGCTCACCATTGACGACAAGGATGCCATAGCGCTTTATCAGGCCATCGGCAGTCTCAAAACCAAGTCAGTGGGATGGGGGTGGGAGCATCTGAGGTGGTCTGGGAGGAAAGATGTCAGTAACAGCTTGATCTACAGCCTACTCTCTCCTCTCCATGCACGTCCTTGGGCTATATTCTCTCCTGGTGCCTGATTCCTTCACTGAACTCAGTTGCTAAGCAGCGCCAGACCCCTAATTGCTCATATTCTTTACACCGGGGATTAATCCCAGATAGCCAAAAGAGAAATAATCAACTTACTTTTTAACACTAGGAATCCCAAACTGAAAATCCTCGTGTCCATTGGAGGGTACCTGTTTGGTTCTAAAGGGTAAGACTGCATCACTTTTTTTAATCTTCATTTTCCCTTGTAATGTCTGGTTGTCACCTCTTCCCTGTCTCTCAAAAGGGGGTACCGAATTAGACAATGACACATCTCCCCCTTGTCCAGGTGTCAAAATGGATTTATGTTTGTCACAGTAGAGGTGCAGCACTAGGTTTCCTGGAGTGTTTGAAGAAATGCACCAGGAACTTAACACAAATTCAGTTCCTGAAAGCCCAGGAGAAACAGGGTTGTGAGCAATATTTTTATTTCTGTAAATATTATAGGTAGTAGGGAGATGGTTTTAGTTATGAAATGTAATTATCTTTTTTTTTTTTAAATCTTCCATTCATTGAGTCACTCCCCAAGAAGCCACAATGGCCAGAGCTGAGCTGACTGGAACCTCTTCCAGGTCTCCCACATGGGTGCAGGGTCCCAAGGTTTTGGGCTGTCCTCAACTGCTTTCCCAGGCCACAAACAGGGAGTTGGATGGGAAGCAGGGCCGCTGAGATAAGAACCAGCATCTGTATGTGATTCGAGTGCTTGCAAGGTGACAACTTTAGCTGCTAGGCTAATGCGCTGGGCCCAAAATGTGGTTATCTTAAACACTTGAGGGTTTGACTTTGCACCATGGGATAGGTTATTTGTACTTATAAAGTTAACGTTGGTCCCTAACAACCTGTGGGTGGTGTTTTCTTGGGTCAGGAGTGAGCAGCAAGATGGCCTAAGAAGAGTAGAACAGCAGAGGAGATGACTTTGCTTGCAAAAGAGTTTCTGTAAGGCAAAGCATGCACTGTAAATTGTATTTTCCACTCACATGAAAGTGATATCCCATTTATATCAAGAGGTAACAAGGTACAAATACACAGGGATAAAACACATTGTTTTCAATATTCAACTACAATTGGTCTAATTTTGAATTCCTTCTGCTTCCACTTTTAAAATGCTAACACTTTTAAAAGTTCAGAGTTCTTACTATCAGCAAAAAGTCTTATTCCACAGAAGTCTGTTTACAAAACCTTTGTATGTGGTTTGTCAATTAAAGCTAGAAGAGGCAGAGAAGAGAAGCAGGTGTTGAACTCCTGCGTGGATTTCTGCATACATGAGAGAGGAAGAAAAAGTCCGAATACCTAATTTAGCTGTCACTACGTCACCTCCACCGTGAACACCCTTCAATGGTGAACAGGCTTCCAGGGCAACTATGCTTCTGATTCTCAAATATTCCTTCCTAATACTTGCCTACATCTTGATGCAACTAAACATGTTTTCATTCATTCATTTTAATTGCATATATTTTGTTGCATATATTAATTGAGTGCCCAGTACATGCCAGCTTGGTAATTATAAATAGGACTTTGAAGACAGACATATTGATTTGGGTTTTCCTTTTATTTGCAGCTGTATCAAGCTAAGCGAATTTAGGCAAGTTTCTTAACAATTCTAAGCCTCTGGTACTGTTTTTGAAGGTAACAGAATCTACCTCAGAGTAAAATTATGAAGGCAGGTAATGCAAACAAATTGTCTTGTAGTGTCAATTTGCAATAGAGCTCAATGATAGCAATAATCATTACATTAGTATAACTGCTATTACTGGGTAAGTTCCAAGCTCTGTGTCAGGTGCTATGTAGAAAACTAGGATCCATGTATGCACAGATTCATTTCTAAGGAGTAAATTAGCCCTGAGGCTCAGATGCAATGGCTCTGTCATCATTGTAAACACTTGGCAATGCAAAACAAAACCTGGCAATTGATTTCTACTGTACTTTATAGTAATGACCCAGTTCCAAAGTATATCTACCACTATTTAGCTGAGACACATACAGTAATCAAAATACCAATTTGATATTGACTGAGACAGCCTTAATCCAAGTCTCTAAGTCAGTTCGGGGATGGGAGAGCCAGAAGTGCCATAACATGGGAAAATACAGTATCGCATTTATGGCTTTGGATGTTGAATGCTACTGGTGGCCCCGGTGTGGGCATGCAGCAACAAACTTCATGTGTTTTGAATCCAGATGAGAGACTCTGAGGATTTGTTTCACAATCCTCCTGTTTGCTACGTTTTCCTTATTCATTCATCTGATGGTGGACACCTGGGTTGATTTCCTGTTTTGACTATTGTGCATAGCCAAATTTGTGTTTCTATAAGCATAGTGAAACAGGTATCTCTTTGATAAAATCAATTCATGTCTTTGAGTGTTTGCTACTAGTGAGATTGAAGGATGATGTCACAGTTCTATTTCTACTTTAAAAAAAGCTCCATACTGTTTTCCACAATGGCTACATTAATTTCAATTCCCATAAACAGTAGCTAAGAGTTCGTCTTCACATTCTCACTGTCAACGGTTGTGCTCGGCCTTTTGGATAATCAGCATCCTAACAGAAATGAAATTATATCTCATGTTTCATTTTATTTTTATCTCTGTTACTTAGTAAATGATCATGAGCATTTTTTTCATGTATTTTTTTAGCCATTTGTGTGTCTTCTCTTGCAAACTGTTAAAATGTTTTGCCCATTTGTTAACTGGATTGGTTGATTTTTGCTTTTGAATTTTTTGAGTTGATGATACATTTTGGATATTAATCTTTAGTCAGATAAGTAGCTTTTAAACACTTTTCCCATTCTCTTGGATGCTCTTCACTCTGATTATTTTCATTGCTGTGCAGAAATCTCTGGATTTGGTAAAATTCCGTTTGTCTAGTTTTTCTTTTGTTGCCTGCACTTCAGGGGCATATGCAAAGAGTAACCGCCTCTACCAACATCTTGAAATGTGTCCCCTGTGTTTTCTTTTAGCAGTCTCATAGTTTACAACCTTACATGTAGATCTTTGATCCCTCTTAAGTTGCTTTGAGTATGGTGAAAGGTAGGGATCTAATATTATACATATGCTTTTGTATATATGCATATAGAGGTGCATATATCCCATGTTACCATGACCATTAATTGAAAGTATTTTCCTTTCTCCAGCATATGTTCTCAGCAGCTTTGTCAAAAATAAGTTGGATGTATTGGTGTGAACTAATTTCTTGACTGCTTATTTCATTCCGTTTATCTGTGGGGCCGTTTTTATGCCAGTGCCATGCGATTTTAATAGCCTTACTTGTATTTTGGTTTGAAATCAAGTATTTTCTGCCTCCCATTTGTTTTTGTTTGTTTGTTTTTATGTTGTTAAGGATTACTTTGAGTATTCTTCATCTTTTGTAATTCCATATGAATTTTAGGATTTTTTTTTTCTGATTCTGTAAAGAATATCATTAGTACTTTGGGAGAGAATGATTGAAGCCACAGATTATTTTAGGTAACATATTTCATTATATATTAATCCTTCCAACTCATGAGTAAAGAATATGCTTCTATTTCTGTGTGTGTCCTTGATTTTTTCCATCAATTTTTTAAAATTGTCTTTCACTTCTATACCCTAAATGCTTCATTTTCGTAGCTATTATGAATGGAATTTCTTTTCTGACTTCTCTTTCAGTGAGATCATCATTATTGTATAAAAATGCTATATTGTTTGTAAGCTGATCTTATAATCTACAACTTTGCTAAATTGGTTTATCAGTTCCACAGCTTTTTGGTGGAGTGTCTAGCATTTTGTGTGAACAGTATCTCATTTGCAACCAGGGATCTTTATTTCTTTTTCAATTTCAGTGCCCTTCATGGAGTTTCCCTAAATTTAATCATTTTGAGGCACATTAAGCATGCTTATTTCCCTCAATCCCAACTTAAGGTTAGCCAGATTGAAACCTAGAAATCTGGTTAGTAGCAAAACATTCACCAGAATGTATTCTGACCCGGGACGTGAGCCCTTAGTTTACCACACCGCATGCTACAGGCTGCTTTTCCAAAGGTATAAGGCAACCAAAGCTGGACAATGTTTAAAGACATAGTTTACCCAGGAATAGTGACAGTAGGAGAAAAGGGCTGGGATGAATTCTGACTATAGCAAAAGCAAGAGATTGATAGCCAAGAAGCAAGTGTCAGAGATCAATGAATGGGAAATGGGATAAGGAAATAGGACCAGGAGAGTCTTGCTAACCTGACCCAATAGGACTTCTTATTATTACTTTGTAAAAGGCAGGCTAAGATGATGAGAGGGATGGTCAAAAGTGAAAATTTGGATAAAATTTTGAAGGTGATCAGATACCAAGATTTCCCACTAAACTGACATTGCAAGATTCTTGTTAAAACCAGAATCTTTGAAGATAAAGATCAACTGCCAATGATCAAGACCGAGCTGAGAAGAGGGCTCAGAGGAGCTTTCTGAAGTCAGACCAAGGAGAATCTTCCTCCGAGGCAGCTCCATTACTTTGCATGGAGGTCTGCAGATCTCCTGATCTCCCCTCTGCTCCCCACGTCCTTCGTGACTGGATCAATTTTTTGGTCCATAGTCTTTCTTCCTCTCGCTTGTTCCAATAGGAGCAGGGGTTTTGGGAGAGAGAGACTATCTCAGAATGCTTGTAGAAAACTGTGTCCCACTCTGGGTATTCCTTGTTCTTTCTGAAAAACATCTACATTGCTTCTACCCAGGTTCCACCCTATGGTTGATTCTCCCAATTCACAATCAGCATTTATTGCTTCTGTGATATCATTTCTGAGGAACCACGACTTTGATGGCCTGGATGTCGACTGGATCTACCCAGATTTGAAAGACAAAATTCATTTTACTGCATTGATTCATGTGAGTTAGAATCTTTGTTACACTTACACTCGATGTTTTTGTTTTCAGATTTATTTTATTTTTTAATTGGAAAATCAGATATACAGAGAGGAGGAGACACAGAGAGGAAGATCTTCTGTACAATAATTCACTCCCCAATGGCCAGGGCTGAGCCGATCTGAAGCCAGAAGCCAGGAGCCTTTTCTGGGTTTCCCACGTGGGTGCAGAGTACCAAGGCTTTGAACTGTCCTCAACTGCTTTCCAAAGCCACAAGCAGGGAGCTGGATGGGAAGCAGAGCTGCTGGAATTAGAACTGGCATCTATATGGGATCCCAGCACGTGCAAGGAGAGGACTTTAGCCACTAGGCTATTGTGCCAGGCCCACACTCCATGTTTTTAATGTGACAAACTCATGACCACATTAGCAAACAAAAAGAGGCAGTTAGGATGGGTTGGGAGGCACAGCCTGGGCCTTTCAGAAGCCCTCACTGACAGGAAAAAAACCTGTTTCTAGTGTAAAGCAGGGACAGCCTCCAACAGAGCTCTGTATACAGTGAACAAGCAACTCCAAAGCAAAGCAATAGCCATGTATAGTACAGGGTTGTACAATTTCCTGTGTACTGATAACATTACAGAAAATGCCATTAGATGGCTCAGGAAACCTATCAGGAGGAAGCACAGATAGTTCTTTCCTGAGTGCAGAGAGGCTGGGGTCTTCCTGCCAACCGTGGAGACTTCCAGAGCATATGCAGCTTGAGATAGCCCCACGTGCGTTAGGCAGGAAAGGGTTGATCTCAGATGTTTAGTGTTGTGCTGTGGGAGGAAAAGTCTAACACCTTGTTTTCTTGCTTTTCATAGGAATTAGCAGAAGCCTTTCGGAAGGAGTTCACCAATACTAACAAAGAAAGGCTTCTGTTGACTGCAGGCGTGGCAGCGTGGAGGCAGATGATTGATAACAGCTATCAGATTGAAAAACTGGCCAAGTGAGTACATCAGCATGCTTCCCCAGTTCCGTGCATTCCATGTGTCAGTATGTCTAAGGGATAAGGGGAAGAAGGAGTCAGGCATGGTCACTGTCAACACTGTAGCACAGGCAGGACTGTCTTCTGTAAGACAGCTTTCAATCCTAATAATCTGCAAAATCCTCATGGAGCTGGTGTTGCAGCATAGTAGGCCTAGCCTCTGCCTGTGGCACCAGCATCCCAGAGGGCTGCTGGTTCATTTCCCAGCAGCTCTACTTCTGATCCAGCTTCGTGCTTATGGCCTCCCAAAGTAAAGGAGGATGACTCAAGTCCTTGGACCCCTGTATTCACATGGGAGATCTCAAAGAAACTCCCGGCTCTTAGCTTTAAGTTGGCTCATCTCTGGCTACTGTGGCCTTTTGGGGAATGAAATAGCCAGCAGATAAAAAGCCTTTCTCTATCTCTCCTCTCTGTAACTCTGTCTTTTAAATAAAAATAAAATTTAAATAAAAAATTAAAAAACAAACCCCCCCTCCCAGAATATATAGGATAGATTCTACCTTTGCTCACCCTAAAATTTCTTCCTTGCCTCTGACGTTTAGAGACCTGGATTTCGTCAACCTCCTGTCCTTTGACTTCCATGGGTTTTGGGAAAGGCCTCTAGTCACAGGCCACAACAGTCCTCTGAGGAAGGGGTATCGAGACCGGGGGATGAGCTCCTACCTCAATGCGGTGAGTGACACACAGAATGTTCAGGGGGACATTGGCTCTTGTCCAGCACATCTGGAGTTACTCCTGATTTGATGCAAGCAGGAGCCATAAGTCCAAGAGCAGATTGTGAGTGCAGGGGAAATGCTTTGGCTAGAAACCAGGAAAATGCTACCTGGAAGCTGTCAGAACTGATGGTTCATGTTCCTGAGCTCTATTTTTGGACATCATCCATCCAAGTCTTTTCTCAAGTTTCATTTTTGGTACACGTTACACCTGCATGCGCATCAAACCTGTGCCTTCCTTTGTCTATTCACAGTCCTTATTTAATATGATCTTCAAAACAACCCCATGAGATTGTCCATGCAGGAGGCACAGCTGGCATGTCTTAGTGATGAAATGGAAGCCTAGTAAATGTAATGATTGCTCAAAGATATGCTGATATGAAAGTCATGAAAAGTTGGAAATGTGAAGTGTAAGAAAAAATATTGCTGTTGCTATTCTGGTACATATATGAGAATGTATGTTCCTAAAATCTGAGGAGAGAAAATGTGGTTTGTGATGTATGTTTCCAGGCCTTTATTTTTAAAGGTACAAAATCATAAGTACAAAAGCAACCAAAAAAAAATCTTAAGTCCATCACTAGATTTCCTGATTTCTAGCTTGGAGTTTTTCTGAGACTCTACACAACTGACTTACATTTGCCCTCTTCAGTTCTTCCCCTTTGTCAGCAATATTTAATTTTAATATTGTTTACGTAATTGAAAGGGATGCACACCCATGTGGGCATTTGCTTAGGGTGGGGAGGGTCGAGGTATGGAGGAAGGTGGGTGGGGCAACTGTTTATATCCTTTTTTTCCTCTTGTGTCTGAAGTGGGGAAAGGTGAAGGGGCCACCACTCCTTGCTGTCAAACTACATCAGCACTCTGGGATAAGGGAGGGTCATTTGATGACAACTTAGACTCTAGTGTGAGGAAGAAAGTTTTGAGGGTGCTGCTTGAATCGTTTTGATAATTCTGAGGCATTTTTTTTTTTTTACTTCATTGCACAAGGGTTGAGAAAATATTTCCAAGGTCTATTGGCTGTCTTATTTTATCCTGGAGGATGGGAAGGCCCAAAGGTGCCTCTTCCCTGCAATCCCCTTGGGTCCAAGTTGTTGCAAGGCCTTGCAGTCAGAATTCTGGCCTTTCCTCCTGTCAGTTACACTGTAGACATAGGCAACTGGCTCAAAAATGGAAGAAGGAGGACAAGAATCCTGATTTGGTCTTTTCTAGGTCTCTTGTCTCATTTCTCTTGTGATCTATTTTCAAGTTCTCTTTTACAACTTGCAAAAGAAAGCGAACTTCTAGTTGTTGAAGGAGATTGGATGTGTTGGTCCTGTCTGTGCCCAAATATTCAAGGAGACATCAAAGAGTCATCTCTATGAAGTTTTGGAAGGAGGCTGAGAAAAACTTGGCCCCTTTCTTTATTCATGCCCTGGGTTTCAGTCTCTCTTTCCCTTCTAGGAATATGCTCTTGGATACTGGGCACACAAGCTCATGCCTACAGAGAAGATAATCATGGGAATCCCCACATATGGACGCTCTTTCACACTGTCCTCTGCAGACACTGCTGTTGGGGCCTCTGCCTCCGGTCCTGGAGCCCCTGGTCCCATCACTGGGTCATCAGGCATCCTAGCTTATTATGAGGTACTTGCCATGCCCAAAATGGGCTTCCCAGTCAATGAGACAATAACAGAGCAATGGTTACTGAGTTATTATGAGGGGAGAGGTGGGATACAGAATATTCTTGGAACACACAAGAGGAATTCTTGATTCTGGGGAGAGGTCTGGGAATACTTCTTGGAGGAAGTGCAATGCGGAAGGGTATTGAAAGGGTATATATGATTGGAAAAGGGATACTGTCCCAGTTCTTGACTTGAGTAAGTAGGTGCCTAACAATGCATTTACAGAGATGAGAAAAGGCCCAGCCTGATCCATCCTCTTCAGTATGTGTATGTTGTGAGTCCGTGCTGAGTGACTTGACATGCACTATGATACATGATCAGGGTAATGTTTCCCCTTACCGCCCCCCACCACCTCATAGAGGAGAACTATTGATTCACCATCAGTTAAGTTGGCAAGGGGCAAAGCACATGGCTCATTACTAGCCTCCTCATTGATTCTCAGGATGTCTGACAGACCGGGGGTGGGTGAGAAGGTGACCCATCCTTGGATAGTTGACTAGTCGATACTGGTATCTGAACTAAAACTTGGTATTTTCTAACTGATTGTTTTGGATAGCTCTTCCTAATGGGGTTTTAGCACAAAGAATTCTCAGCGGTTCATCCTGAACCATCCATTCTGTACAGTGTATCATATAGTTTCTCTCCCAGTCTGATCCCTGAGATGATTCTTCTATCTCACCAAATTCTTAGTCTGCGAAATCTACCCTATTCAGTCTCAAGAGAAGTCCATTACTGACTGTCTTGTTCCCCATTTCCTCATCAGATCTGCCAGTTCCTACAAGGAGCCAAGATCACAAGGCTCCAGGATCAGCAGGTTCCTTATGCAGTCAAGGGCAACCAATGGGTGGGCTACGATGACGTGGAGAGTGTGAAGAACAAGGTAGGTAGCTAAAGGGGACAGGAAAGAGAAAGGTGTTCTCTTAGATGAGAAGCAGGAATGCGTGGCAAAGTTCCTCAAAATTTTAATTTCAAAATGGAGGAACTTCTGGGACCCCCTACTTCAGGATTGTACCCAAGGCTCCACTATAGCCCAAGTTTATATATCTGAGCATCCTGTGGTACACACAGAAAGGTAATAAGGATCCAAGCAAAGTTTAGAATAAGTAGAGAAGTAAAAGCTGAAAGGAAGAAGAGAAGGTAAAGGGAATAAAAGAAACCTTGGTGCCTACATGGTTGTCAGTTCTCTCGGGACAAATCCTTCAGTCCTTCTCATGGTTTGTTCATCGATGGGCTCCAGATTTCTGAACATAGCAATCCACAGACCTTGGCATTTGTTTTCCTTCAGGCTCAGGAAAGAAAGAAGAAATTAGTGCAACTGACAACACCAGGGTGTGTTGGATTTTTTTTTTTTTTGGTTGGTTGATTGATTTTGTTTGTTTCCTTGTTTGTTTTGTTTTTACTAAAATCTTCCTAGTCTCTGTTGTATCTAGCAGAGCTTTCACAACCTCCAAGAATACTGAACCCAGAGAGTGGTGACTCCATGAACCAGACGAGAGCTTCTTAGTAGGTTGTGGCCCTTGCAGGCTCTCTCTGAGCCATCTTTTCCTGCAGGGATTCTCTAACATTGTATAATCCATCTACTGCTGCCTTCTAAGCTTGAACCCTCATTTGAACCTGACTTAGTCATGGGTATTTAAAGGTCTCTTCTGATTTCTGTCCTTCTGTGCCTCCCACAGGTTCAGTTCTTAAAGAATTTAAACATGGGAGGGGCCATGATCTGGTCCATTGACATGGATGACTTCACTGGCACATCCTGCAACCAAGGCCCCTTTCCCCTTGTCCAAGCTGTGAAAAGAAGCCTGACTCCCTTGTGAAGGTAACAGAGCCCGGGGTTAGGGTTGGACATGGGCAAAGGACTAGAGAGAATAGGAATAAGATGCTGGGGTAGATCATCTTCACATATGTGGCCTGACCTTTCCTCAGGTGCCTTTGCATTTTCTGCTGTTTCCTTATTGTGTGGACAGAATCTATCTTTTAGTCAGCTTCTCATCATTTTTTAGAATAGTAATAATTTTCAGGACAGGCATGTAGCCTAGACTCTTATTAACATACCTGATCTTATGCTGAAGTAATTGGGTTTAGTGCCTGGTTCCAGCTCCTAACTCCAGCTTCCTGCTGGTGCAGACATTTGGAAAACAGCAACACTGTCTCTTTATTTGTTGAATTCTTACCTCTTATGTGGGAAAGCTTGGCTGAATTCCTGACTACCAGCTTTGGTATGGCCAAGTCTTAGCTATTGCAAGCATCTGCTGAGTGAGACAATGTATGGGACTGCTCTACCTGCCTCTTGTATCTCTGAATTAAATTACACTTGATCTTAGTCAAAAGGCTAAAAGGCAACCTCTTTTTGAATTAATTTTTTAAAACAAGAATTATTTGGCTGCCATTTACTGAGTTGTGGGCTCTATTTATTCATACAGTGGAAATAAATATTGATTTCATTACAATTCTTGGCTACAAAGACATTCGCCTCAGCTACAAAAACATCAGCATCTCTTGATTGCCTAAATCTGAATCAATTTGGTCCCATTCCCTCAACTCACAGGACTGATGAGAAGTCCAATGTTGGTCATTATCTAATGCCCTGATCCTTGACTACAGCTAATCTTACCTAGTTGATGTTTGAAAGGTTCCATGGTCGTAGTTGATACGCTCCTGCCCAAGACTATCTGCTATGCTAAAGTCTGCTGGCTTTGCTTCTGCTTCATTTGTGGTCCCCAGACTCCCCAGGTAAATTGGATGTCCTCTCGGGAAGGTGAAGGCCATTGATGACCAACCATCCATGCTGAGATCCACTGGTTCCAGGGCAGAGGGTGGAGTAAAGAGCAGCTGACAAAGGCTTACTGTAAACAGTGATGAGGAATGGCCATACTATCTTGGAGCAGGATCCAGAACTATTTGAACACTCTTGGCTATTTGATTGGGCAGCACCCTACTAGCTCTGAGCATCAATGATTTAGTAACTTGGTACAGACCTAAGGTTACCAGGCTGGGATTTGAAGTATTCTTTCTTTTATCTCCAGGATCAACTCACAGCTGAAAATGCAAGGTGACACTGTTGCCTAGTCCCTTTCAAAACATCTCTAATGGGATTGCCCTTGTTGACTGGCTTCCAGATCTCACAGTGCTAAGCTTTTTTTGACTTTCTGTCAGACCTTGGATGGGACAAGTTCTGTTTCCCTACAGCAGCTGACTGGCTGGCCAGGGGTCCAATAAAATGAAAATCACTTTCCTGCAGCAAATGTGGCCTAGCAAATTTGTGCAATTCTTTTTTTTTTTTTAAAGATTTATTTATTCATTAGAAAGCCAGATATACAGAGAAGAGGAGAGACAGAGAGGAATATCTTCCGTCCGATGATTCACTCCCCAAGTGAGCCCAACAGCCGATGCTATGCCGATCCGAAGCCAGGATCCAGGAACTTCTTCCAGGTATCCCCTACGGGTGCAGGGTCCCAAAGCTTTGGGCCATCCTCAACTGCTTTCCCAGGCCACAAGCAGGGAGCTGGATGGGAAGTGGAGCTGCCGGGATTAGAACTGGCACCCAAATGGGATCCTGGCGCATTCAAGGCGAAGACTTTAGCCGCTAGGCCACGCCACCGGGCCCAATTTGTGCAATTCTTGACCAACTGATGTTAGACTGTCCTGCCCTACTACAAGGGCTGCACATTCCTTTATAAATATTAGAGAGCTAACTTTCTATGAAAATATGACTAATATTCCTTCATTTTCAAATATATCTCCACAATGGCCTAAAAGATAAAGTTCATCATGAGAATTCTCAGACACTAGTGACTCAGCCCATGTTTGGGCTCCCAGAGCATAGATAGTCCTTTCTCTCCCTACCCGTAAGTCTATCTCGCAGAGCAGGGCCCTCGTATACACACATGTGGACATCTCGGGCTTTGCATCCAAGCTTCAGCCACACCATCTCTTCACTTCCTAAAATACACACATAAGGGTCTCTGAGCTGGGTGTCTCAAACCAGCTTTGGGGCCCATCCCCCCATGATGGTGGACCCATGGAAAAGGCCTTGGCAGGCTCTGAAAGTAAACAGAAGCAATTGGGCCACTTGAGCAGGAATCTGGGTATCAGAATCATGCTTTCTAGGAGGGGAGACGTGAGCTCCAGGAAGATGTGTCTCTCACCCTGCAATCACCTCTGCTCATGCAGCAGAGAACAGGTGCAAGAGGCTCAGAGTCCGTCTCTTTTGAAACAGTCTAAGCAAACTCTAGCCCATGGATCAAATCTTGCTCACTGCCTTTTTAAATAAGATTTTTCTGGAACCCAGCTGTATTCCACTTCTTTACATATGACTTGTTGTGTTTGGTTTTTAGGATGTGTCTGTAGCTGTTTTCTCTCTGCAGTGGCAGAATTGCAAAGTTACAGCACGGGTGGTACATTGTGCAAAGCCTGGAATATCTAGCATTCAGTTCTTCACAGAAAAGTTTGCCAGCATTTTCTCTAAAGCATGGTACTCACAGCAGGAATCCAGTTGCACTGGATTAAGTTAGAGTCAGACAAATTAAGATACACTGTTTCCCCCACTTTCTCTTTTCTGTTCCATTCATTTCCTCTAGAAAAAAAAGAGTTATTTTTATTCTAATATTTAAACAACATTTTCATGCACAGATTTAATATTAATTGTTTTGAAGTATGATGCATTATCCCAGTTTTGAGGTGCACTAACTGAGGCTCACCTGAAGCATTTATCTGAAATGTAATTGTAACTAGTTTGACTCTCAGAATGTGGTGACAGCAGAATCTCTGGGTGAGATTTGGGGACACAACTAGAAGGAGCTTCATGATCTGAAGGGAAGTAGGATGGGAATACCTAAGGACTTTTCCAAAACTGCTGTTAGATTTACAAATGGCCAACAGATAATTGATGTACAGATGGCCAACAAGTGTATGAAAACCAGTCAGCATCACTAGTCTTCAAAGAAATGGTAATCAAAGCAAAGATGATCTATCACTTGAAGATGACCCCAGTTAGATCAACTCTTACAAGAAGAGGAAGCATAAGTGTTGGTTTGGTAATAGACATATGAAAAGATGCTCAGGCTCCCTAGCCATCAGCAAGATACAAATGAAAACCACATCGAGAAACCATTTAACTCCAGTGAGACTGGCCTACATTCAGAACTCTAATAACAACACCTGCTGGCATGGATGTAGGGAGAAAGGTACCTTTCTTCACTGCAGGTGGGAGTGTAGGCTGGTACAACCACTATGGGAATCAGTATGAACAATGCTTAGAGAATTGTAAATAAACCTGCCAGATGACACAGCTATCCCACTCCAAAGGAAATGAAAACTGCATACGAGAGGACGATCTGTAATCCTGTATTTACAGCAGCAGAATCTACTACAGCAAAGACGTGGAAACAATCCAGATACCCATCCAAAGAGGGGTGGTTAAAGAAACTGTGGTATATCTACTCCATGGAATATCACACAGCCATTAAAAAGAATGAAATCATACCATTTACAACTAGATGGTCCCAACTAGAGATCATCATGCTCAGTGAAATAAACCCAAAAGGACAAATACCATATATTCTCTCCAATGTAAGGAAACCATCGTGCAAATTACACTTTTGTGTTTTCTTTCTGTCACCCATCCATTGGTTATTTGGTGGCATGTTTTTTTTTTATTCTATGATAAAGTATTTTTTTTTCCTTTTTTGTTTTGTCTTTGTTTTAACTTCATATCTGTTGTTGACCTTATTTTGCGGCTTCTCATTTAACGGAATATATAGTAATGGAGTAATAGAGACTACCATATCCAGATGTGAAGATACAATGCAATATGCATCCCTACTTCCAAATCGAAGATGGACTCCCAGTGAAACTGTTGGACATATCTAGACAATGAGATGCTGGACTGTCTGACATTGTCTGTACCAGCAATGTTGGGGCACACCTAAATAACAGATTGATGGAATTATAGCTTGTTATGAAGGACTATACTCTCGTAACAATATGCAGAAAATCAGCCAGGGGGTGGGAATTTTGGGGGGATGGATTCCAGACCCTACATATTTGTACCATAAAATTAAAAAAAGAGCATAACACTCAACACCACCTAGAACTAACCCTCCCCTCTCCCCTTCACTCTCCTCCTCTCTCTCCCTCCTCCTCTCCCTCCTTCTCTTGCTCCTCCCTGGAGAGAGAGAAGAAAGAGAGAGAGATGGAGAGAGAACGAGAAAGAGAGAGAGAAATAAAGTTCTCCCATCCACTGATAAAAAAAGAAGTGTTAGCTTGGTTGTGGATCAAAAGGAAAGTTTGTACACTGGGATGAATATTCATAGACATTATGGGAAATGGTATGGAGAGTCCTCAGAAAAGGAAACACAGAATTATTGCATGGTTTAACAATTACAATATCGTGTGTAAGAGTCAAGGTCGTCTAAAGTGATAGAATTTATAGGCTATGTCTATAAATATGTGAAGCGGGGTAAACTAGAGGAATTGCCTCACATCTTTATGCAAACTGAGAAGTCTTACAACATGTGCTAGCTAAAAACTCTGGGATGCTGACAAAATGGGTTGGTCCAAGTGGGAGGAGAGCCTGAAACCCAGGGAAGTAAATGGCACAACTCTTAGTTTGTGGCTAATTGTCTAAGTATCAGTGTGGGGGCCGTTGGTGTGAGTCCTGGAATCCAAAGACTTGCCTCTGACCTCCAAGGAAACAGTGAACAGTATTCCAATCACACTCTGCATTTAGTCCCTCCAGAACCCCAGTCAGTAGATGATTCTGCCCACACTGAGGCTGGATCTTCCCACCTAGTCCACTCAGACTAGGTGCACTAGGTGCTAAGCTCCTTCGGAAACACCATCATAGACAGACCCAAAATGATGCTTTCCTAAGTTCCTCGGTGTTGCTTCAACCAGTCAAGTTGGCATTATATAACTGATCATCTGCACTCCCTTGTCTATTGAAGCACTACTCACAATAACCAAGAGATGAAATCAACCTATGTGTCCCTCAGTGAACAAATAGATAAAGAAAAATATGGTGTGTACACACAACAGACTACTACCCAATTCAGAAAAATGAAATCCTTTCATTTACAACAAATTGGGAAGAACTACCACTGCACTGTGTGAAGAAAAAATCCAGGATTGAGAGAGAAGTCCTGCACAATCTTACAATGCACGTGGAATCTAAAGGGCTAGATCTCAGAAGTTGAGACTAGAATAATTGCCACACTCTGGTGGTTGAGAAGGCTATGGGGCAGACGGTAAAGAGACAGTGCTGTCAGCAGGTACAACAATACAATTAAGAGCACTCAGTTCTTGTGATTTACCGCATGTTGACTATAATTAATAATCATGTATTACACTTTCCAAAATAGCTAGATGTTTTTCATGTTTTCACCAAAATGAAATTATTGAAGTTTAAGGTGGTAGATACAAAAATCTCCCTGATTTATTCATTACATGCTGTGTACGTGCATCAAATACATAGCATCCATAAATACATATAATTACTAAGTTAAATTTTTAAAACAAATTGTTTTTGACATCGACTATGATTTAGAATGAGGAAATTAAATTAGTAAATTTACAAAGTAAATTAATAAATCTTAGTTTATCTAAGAAAAGAGTGATTCTAGAATTGGATAGTATTCAGGACCAGAAGATGTATAGAAAGCCTGGCTTTGCAATAAGCGCAATTAATATTTATAGACAGAAAAGGAAGTAAAGTATAGAAATAAGTTGACTGAGTACAGCTTGGGGTTTGCTTACAGACTCCTGAGCCAGATTTCAGGTTTTTTTACATGCTTAATCTAGATTGCAGCTCACTACCTAGGAACTCAGAGTAAGGAGACAGCCTCAAGGCCAATTCAGCTATTGATATAGGAAAACGAATTGCAAAGGCTGCACAACATAGCACCTTAGCCTTGATGAATCCTGTCCCTCCAGTGAAGGTCCATGTCTTGAGCTCTAAGCCCTGAGCCTTGTAGAATACTGTTTCCTACTACGAAGAGAAAAATCGTGTGCTTTGCTAACATTGCAAGATTAAGACTATGAAAGTCTGAAATTGAGCTAGGGTTGAGGAAGGATGCCAGTTAGGCTTTCCACCCCCTCCCCTGCTTCTCTATTTTGTTTTTTCATTAGAATATAACTTTGGGGAGATCTTTAAAGATTGAGTCTTCTATCAGAGTTGCACTGTGCTGGTGTTGGTGAGAGGCAATACATAGATCACAGGAACCCACCCCCAGGTGAGAAAT